TGCACATGCATAAACATATATATATATGATATGCACAGATTATACACACAGATTCATCTCTGGGGAATTTGAGTAATCAACACATCTGAAGCCTGGGTTATGGAGCAATACCGCCACCAGATGACAGGACTGTAAATGAGCTATACAGTAGTTAAGTCACTGACTAGCTACTGAAATGGTCAGGCCCATCACTGGCAGGTAATACGACAACATTCTCAAGTTTTCTGCTGCAATCTCAAAAGTTTTTTTTTTTTAATGTTAAGCACGTTTTCCACACCTCATCTCTCAATAATTACTATTTTCCTATGTGACAGCCAAAAAGAAAAAACAGCATGGAAAATTCTAAGAGTCGCTACAAATTTTCTGAAAAGTGTAATGAAAAACCCTGGGATTAAATTATCACCATAGAGAATAACTCCTATTTGCCATCCAAACTGGACTGTTTCAGCACATTGTTGACTTATCTTAGGCTTTGTTGGCCCTCCACAGAAAGAACTTAATTTGGAAAGTAAACAAAAACCCTTAACAAGGAGCATTGTATCTAGCAGTGTACTCTTATAACCTACTCCGAAGAAAGCCCAAGTGACTTCTGTGGGACACTCCCAAGTTAAGCGAGACAGCACTGCAGCCTAAAATGGGATCAGCATGATGACACACTGCCAAACCCTGCATATTTTTATATGGAAGAAAACTCCTTGAATCCAATGATGCAAATATATGACTGCAGTCTTAATGCATTTCTATTTGGATGCTTCCCTTTCACTCCTGGGCCAGTACATTATTTAATTGGTACAATAAGAAGATATTGGAAAAACAAGCATCTCAAACCTATAAGAAACGTTCTAAAATCCAGGAAGAAACTTGATTATGGCCCACAGAAGGTTCACTGAAAGGGCAAGCCACAAAGAAAACACTTTACGAAAACGAGGGCCACATAAAATACATTTCCCGGCTGCACACGAAATAAAGCACAAATAAGCTTACCTTATAATTACTAGAGTTCACCCATCCTGTCAATTCATCAATGACTTTATCCAGGCGTTGCTGATCCTGCTCAAGATCAGTGGAAACGCTGGGATCGTTCAGATACTCCAGAAATTCTTGGCCGACCTGCATCCTGCGGCCCACATCTTTCTGCGGCACCTGATCGCAGAAGTAATCCATTCTGCTATGCTCCATGGTTGGTTGGAAAGGACCTTCGCCTGAAAACAAACCCCTGATCCGTGTTTATTTACAGCTTATATGTCTGTATGTTCGCGGGGAGGAATCTGAATCAGCCCAGAAGGAATTCCAAGGTGCAAAGAAATCCAGGAAAGCTCTCCCTTCACAGTTCCCTTTTCCCAGAAAAAAACAACCCAAAAACTAGGAAAAGTACCAGTCCTTTGACAAAAAGAGAACATTAAATCATCCCCCCAAAAATGAAGGTTATGATGATGATAATTCAAATAACAGTCTCCAGTGATTGCTGTTCCAACGCAAGATCTGAGGGGAGGAGAAGGTGTTTATTTTGGGGTCGGGGTGGCGATGCCCGCGGTGGTTTCCCTCCTCGTCCTCCTCCCACTTTCTTTCCCCCCTCCGAGGTTCTCGGTTGCGATGTCGGAAGCAGCGGCGCGAAGCAACCTCTTTCCCAAGTCCTCCGAGGCCAGGCGAGCAGGGCGGGGAGGCGGCGGGGCACTTTCGGAGAGCATGGGAAGAAGCCAATGGGGTCTCGCTCGCTCCCTCAAGGCCGGCCAGGGAAGCGCCGCAGTTCGCCGCCCAGGCGCCCCTCAGCCTCTCACCGCAGTGAGGAGGAGCAGCAGCAGGAGGAGGAAGGGTGGCCGCTCCTCAGGACCAAGGCAAGCAGGAAGCGGCCGGAGCTGCCGCCGCCGCGTCGCTGCTGCTGCGGGGAAGGCGGGACTCTCATGCTGCGCGCGGAGGCTGAGGGGGAAGGCGAAGGGGCCCAGCGAGCTCGCGCCGCTCTCCTCTCCTCAGGGCGCCGGCGGGGGCTCCGTCCTGTGGAAGTTGCGTCCGCCTCGAGTCGCCGCACGCCGGGGGCGTCGCTTTCGCCGACCAGGCCCCGCCTTTTCCTTCCTCTTTGCCCCGTCCCGCGCGTGCGCACGCGCCTCCCCGCTTCCCTCAGCGACGCTCCGCCCGACGGCGCGGCCGCTCTCCCCGACCATCGCTTTCCTGCGCATGTGCAGAAACCCTTCCTCCGCGCCGTCTCTCTGCTTTCCTCTCGCGCCTCTGCGGGCCCGCCCCCTGCTCCGCCCCTCCCAGGGAGAGAGAAAAGAAAGAGGGGCCGCGCGCGCGCACCCCGTGTCTTCCAGCGCCTCTCGAACGAGGCGCCATGCGCATGCGTCCCATGAACCAATCCGTCGTGAGGAAGGTGGAAGGGGGGGTTGCGGGGAGGAGGCCTTGCTTCCTTCCTTCTTTTTATTCGTCGTCCGCTGCGGCGCCTGCGCGGCGCGCATCTTTTTCCCGCGCGTATTCAAAGATAACCACCACAAACGGTTGCATGAAGGGAGGTTGAAGGGACTCCAAAGCAATCCATCCCACTCTATTGCTGCCCGTTTTTCACGCGGACACGGACACATGAATTTCTAAATCTGTATTTCACACCGTTTCAAACGCATGCATTTGGAAAGGATCCCTAAACTGGCAGAGAGCAAGAGAGATGACCTGAACTACAGTCCAAAACGTTCTATCAGTACAGAACATAGCATTTTACATCAAAAAAAAGGATAACTCTACCATACAGGACACGTGGCAGCCCTGCCTGAGGCAGGCTTATTGAGGATCTGCCCATCAGCCAAGTGCCTAAATGAATAATTTTTATTTTTATAAATTAGTGCTTTGTTTATGATCTTCAGTTTTATACATTTCAATAATTTTACAATATCTTTTTCGAAACTTGACTTTCCCCTCTTTCTGTGGTTCCTTAAATTTGTTTTTTTATATATTTTCTGCCTATTCCAAATTAAATTAATTTACTCATTTATTCATCTACTTTAAATATATATATAGTTTTATAAAACTGCAGGTTATTCCAATAATCCTGCCAATGTTTCTATCTGTTTACAGTTTATTTGTAAATCTTCAATAAAACATTTCCATTCATTTACCTATTTTAAAACTTTGTTATCTTGATTTCTTATTTTTCCCGTAAGTTCCGCAATTTCTGCATATTCCATAAATTTTTGTATCCATTCTTGTTTCGCTGGGACTTCTTTCCAGGGAATAATTTTTAATCCTCTCGACCCAAGTAGTTGGAAGCTGAAATATTCTGTAGTAATACTACCCAAAGCTTTCTATCTCTCTCTCTCTCTCCAGGCCAAGGCTCCTGTTTGTGGGAGGAAAGATCACATTATCCAGCTATTCCAGCCAAAACTTTTTAAGATAACTGCTTATTTAAATTTTCAGGAGTACAGAAACATTAATACACATACAAAACATCTTGGTTGTGAGCTCATCTTGGCTTGTCCAGTGCTTAGAAAGCATGGGTCCAAGGGGTTTGTTCCTTGCCCTGCCAGCAGACCTGTACAGAGATTACCTAAGACCCACAGTTAAAATTGTTAAAATTTAGTTATAAACTCAATTTTTTAAAAAGCAGCCAGTCCCTGGTGGGGCTCCAAGGCCCGGGACACGGCGTACCCTCTACCCAGACCTGCTGGCCTGCTGCTATCCCCCTGAAAACCTGCTCTTTACCTCTGAATCAGAGCAAACTTGCATCTGCATGAAACCCAATTGGCATTTGCTCCAGTTCGGTGGCGAAGAGCAGGTTTTCTCCGAGGGAAGCAGGAGGACAAGCGGAAGTGCGGGCGAGTCCTCGATCGTGCACCAGGACCCGGGACAATTTAGTGAAACGCATTCTGCCGTGGTTGGTCGTGTGTCAAAGGAGAATACCGGTCCATATGTGCCATGTCATAGAATTCTATGAAATGGCTTTGACTCGCTTTGCTAGTTTCCCCAGCCCAAGCTTCCATTTTATCAAGTCATAGGAAGCACACGAATGGCAGAGAATGATTAGGAAAGGGATGGGTCAAAAGGGACCAGTTTAGGCAGGATCTTGTGTCATAGAAACACCAAGCCACATCTTCCACAGGTACAGCTTTGCTCCAGAAGAACGTGCGTTTGCAAACAAGCCCTGAAGAGGCTTCCCTCGCTTTTCTTGTATTCAGACTGAAAGTATACGGTTGTATTTACAATCTGATCCTAAAGGTTTGGAAGTAGTGGCTGCTAGTTAGCTATTTGCCCAGTTGTCCAGTATATTTTGCATTCATGCTGTAGTTTATGGTATTATTGGAAATCTAATGGGACAGGCTGCTGTGGTTTAGCAAAATAGTGCCAACAGCACAGTATCAAATATAATCCATTTGGGAGATTCCAGGTGGTTCAGCTTCACTAGCGATTTCATCCTGTTTTCACTAGAATGAAGACACATCAAGGTAATTCACATGGGACTGGTGAGCTTTCGTAATAGGAGTAACTAAACTGTGCTGTCCCCCACATTCTTGTACACCTGGGTCCTGCTATGCGAACACTCATTATATGAACCTTCAGTTATCCACGCATGAAGGATTCCTGCCCTAACATCAGTGCACAAATGTCTGATTCAGATATCCGAACATCTAAATCATTGCACACTGGGAAAGATCTTCCAATTGAGTGCAATATCCAGTAGTGTAGTAAGAGAGACATACATTTGGGGGTTAACTTTTCATGGGAATGCTTTGGGATTTTGGGAACGATTTTCGGAAATTGTTGGCTTGCTATGCAAAAACTCGGCTTATAAACCATTTATCAGGAACGGATTACGTTTGCATACTGCATATACAGTATTGGGACTGTTTAATTTTTTTTAAAAAAAGTGCCCTAGAGATTGAATCAGTAGTCAGGAAGTCAGGTGTGTGGAATACATTAGATTATTGAGGATGATTCAAACCCCAGCAGACTGCAAAAAGCTCTAAAAGGTCACCTACAAAATATCTGAAATGGATGTCATTTTTTGGAAAGCTCATTGTAAATGTCAGATTCACAGAATATTTTTTTATTTATTAAGAAATGTATAAACTGTCCTTTGCAAAAAATGCCACAAAGCGGTTTGCCACACAAAACAATGTATGTAACTATTGGCTATTTGGGTGATCTTCAGCCCAAACAGATTGTTTGGAATCCAATAAGCATAAGCCCCATCCTAAATGCATTCAACATAATGTTTATCCATAGACCGTCCACACTATCCTGGACTCTTGAAATATGCAAAGGCTCTTATTCGGAGAGAGCCTATGCCTGTATGATTAGATTGTAAGTGCTTTTACACATTATGCTGAACTTGTTCAGGGAGCTAGAGACCAGTAAATGTATGTTCATTAGCCTGAACATCTTACCTATTTCACATTTGCTATAAACACATAAACATGGCAAAATAATGTTGCAGGAGAATACATTTGCAGTATTTTTAAAAAGTCTAGTCAAAATGCTGTTTCACTTCTGTGCTTTTTCTACCATTTATTAAGACGCTATCAAGCATATCTTTTAAAATCAGGATTGTGGTATGATTTAAAATCTGTTTGCTGTAGGCACAAGATATAAAATCTTGAGTCAATTTCTGAGCTGACTAGATACTCTGGCAAAGAACATTATTACTACCTTGCTAAGGTATTGGGTTTAACTAAAATGACTCCCAACAATATGTATTTCTAACCAGAAAGTCATACTAAACCTGTTCGTTCTGCACACGCCCAAACTGTGCTAGAACATTAACTGCTACTGCATGTAGTATCATGTTCTGAAATGTGTAAGAAATATAGGAAAACAAGTGGGACCAGCAACACAATGTTGCAGTGTATCTCCACCCCTTAAGAGGAATGCTTCTTTTCAGAATTGGGAATTTGAAGAATGGGGAAAGGACAAAGGGCACTTCCCCCCTTCAGTACCATCTCCTTTGCTCTATAGCATTACATGGTCATTGGCTTTAAATTGGAACATAATAGAGTTACGTCGTGGAGAAAGGGCGGGGGTCTAGTTCTAGAACTGCAACATCCCTGTATAGCGCATAGGAAGAGATTTTAATCTCATGACACACATTCGCACCCCTGGCTGCCACTGATAAGCTTTCAGGGCCTTGATCAAGTAATTTCTATTCCATCTTCCATGTTTCTTTTTTGAGCTTTCTAAAGGAAAATAGACATTGCCAAACTAACATTTGGCATTACAGTGGTGCCTCGCAAGACGAAATTAATTCGTTCCGCGAGCTTTTTCGTCTTGCGGTTTTTTTCATCTTGCGAAGCACGGTGTCGGAAAAGTTTTGGAAAAGCTTCAAAAATCACCAAAGTCTTCAAAAACCTCAAAAAAGGCTACCTCACCGCGTGCTATGAGTTGCTCCTCGAAGTCAAGTCGCAACTGTATTAACGGTTTTAAGAAAAAGGAAACAAACTTGCAAGACGTTTCCGTCTTGCGAAGCAAGCCCATAGGGAAAATCGTCTTGCGAAGCAGCTCAAAAAACCAAAAACCCTTTCGTTTTGCGAGTTTTCCGTCTTGCGAGGCATTCGTCTTGCGAGGTACCACTGTATTGGAAAGGACACCACAAGATAATGAAAATCAGAGTAATAAAAAGAGTATACACTAGGAGGTGGAGTTTGTACCACTCCAAATGTTGGACTTCAGTGCCCATCAGCCCCAGCCAGCATAGCAAGTAGTCTAACATGAGGGTGGTGGTAGTCTATCAATACCTAGAAGACCACAGATTCCCTATCTCTGCTTTAAATCTGGGGTGGTGAACCCATGGGCCAAAACCGGCCCACAAAGCCTATCCTAACACCCCATCAACCTCCCACCATATTTTGCAGCAGTGGAGTCTAACTCGGGAAAGAGGGTCAGTGATTTGCGGGGAACTGTTTCAGCCAGGAGTCAAGAGTTGGAGGCGGGGGAAGCTTCAGAGCAGGAAGGTGCAGCATAGGATGGGTGGGAAGAAGAGGAGAATGAGGCAGGTCGGGCAAGTGCTTCCACACCTTTTCCTGTACCACTTTCTCCCAGAACCAGGAGGGGACTGAAAAGGGAGGTGCAGAGGACATTGCCACGCGGGCGCAGTCTCCAACTGTGTGCACACAGCTCATTGGGGAAGGTACATGAACTCGCGGAGGATTGGTCACTGTTGCTGCAACTGCTCCAGAAAACGCAGGCCTGGGAATAGCTGCCTAGATGCTAGATTGGCATGCGTAGATATCCAGAGCTGTAGAAGCGACTGTGAGTTATGTTTGACGATAAAGAGTGAACTATATGCTGCGTACATTGTGTTGGCTTGAAAGCACCCTTGACGGGCAGCATCACTTAAAAAAAATAATCAGAGAGGAACCAAGCAGAGTCCAGCTGTGATGGTAGGGACCAGGAGCAGCTTCAGGTATTATTTGCCCTCTTGACTTGGAGTGCATCTGGAGCGTTGAGAAAGCATTGGATGAACACCAGAGCAGACTGGAGATCTCTGCCCACATCCTCTGTTCTCCTCCAGAAATTCACAAGCACCAGGGATGATGGTCGGGTGCTCCAGAAAACCCTGAGAGGAGAAAAGACAGAGCTGAAGAAGGAAGAGTGGGTGGGAACAGCTTTGTTAGTGACCATGTGTTTTTGCTGCCACTGCAGTTCACACGGGTTTGACTTCCCTTCTGCCACTGGGTTAGTTATAAAACAATGAACAGGGTAGAGATACAATTGATTACTGCAATCAACACAAGATAATATCACCAAGGCAACTATCTGTAAACAAACAATAAACATCCATAAAAATGGCAAAAGTAGTTTCTTTACCAAATTGGTTTTCTCCTAAACAATAGCGAACGCAGTAAATGAAGAATTCACTTGTAATGTATCAGTGGTTCGGTGCTCATTTCTTCTCCTTCCAAAATAGATTTTATCACAGTAATAAAGAGTCCGCTTGTGATATACCAGCAGTTCAGTGCTTGGACGCTGTTGCGGTAATCCGACATTTCGTCACTAAAAAACTTAAGTCATCGAGCTGTCAAAATCAATTGTAACAGAATTCACTGAATTAACAAGTAGAATAAGGAAAAATTAAAATTAAAAATAAGTTGAGAATGCATAATTAAGGCAAACCTTTGTAGTAAATGATAGACAGGAGAAGACAGTATGTAAATGGCTTAAAGCAGGGATATATCTATAAGAATAAAGGTGAGACAATAACTATTCACACATGCATAGTTAATACCCCCAGTTCCACTATTACAGAAAATATCCATAGAAACCTACCTGTCCCCATCTGCATGTTTCCATCGGGAGGATGTATATCAGCTGGGGTAGGTGGGTCGGAGGGAGAATCTGGAACGCTGGTGCCCAGTTGTGTGTGCAAAGGCCTTTTATGCACACAGGAGAGTGTCGGGTGGCTATGTACTTTTATTTTGTCCGTGGACTAGTCAACAAGGAACACAGCCCTTGAGCTTGGCTCAGTTGCCATCAGGCTTCTGTAAACTATGTTCTTGTCAGGCAGTGTGTGTGTGTGTGTGTGTGTGTGTGTGTGTGTGTCTTGAACAACAACAACAACAAAAGGGTTCTTTTCCCCACTCCCTTTTAATTTGCAGACTTCTGTACTTCGGCACAGCTAGGGATTTCTCCAGGGAGTATAGAAACAATTGCCTCATATTTGGGTGGCCCCGTTTCATTACGAAAGAGAGAGGCACTCAGGCAAAAGTTCAGCGATCAAGGGAGCGATATTCTGGTTAAGGCATGAGAGACAATAGCCTTTTCAGCTGCGTAGGGAAAAGATTACTCGAAGACCCCTAAGTACATCGTTGGCAGCAAAATCTGAGGCCCTGATTGATGCCACGTTTCAAATCAGATTTTTCTTACTCATTATTTCCCTAGGTCATAGCTTGCGTTGGACAATTAGCCATTTTATTTCGAGAGACAGCTGTGTGAGATTAACTCTGCTCTTACCCTCTCGGAGAATTCTTAGCACTATTTTCAAGGACACAATAATATCCTTTATTTTGGGGTGGAGGGGTAATGTGCTGCCCATCAGAATATGCTTCCAGGGGAGTGTGCAATTAAAAGGGGGGAAGCATGGAAAAAAAACAGTGAGTTGACTAAACCATAAAACACCTGTTAAAACCAGCCAGTGTGGTGTAGTGGTTAAGAGCGATAGTCTCGTAATCTGGGGAACCGGGTTCGCGTCTCCGCTCCTCCACATGCAGCTGCTGGGTGACCTTGGGCCAGTCACACTTCTCTGAAGTCTCTCAGCCTCACTCACCTCACAGAGTGTTTATTGTGGGGGAGAAAGGGAAAGGAGAATGTTAGCCGCTTTGAGACTCCTTAAAGGGAGTGAAAGGCGGAATATCAAATCCAAACTCTTCTTCTTCTTCTCTTCAATCAGATGAAACTGCCTGGAAAAATAAAAAAAAACACTTCACTGAGTGCCACAGAGACTTCAGAATGGGCAGCAGGTAAGCTGCTTGACAGAGGGCATTTCACATGCCAGGTACCACAACCGGAGAGGTCCTCTTGATGATCACTGCCCTAACCTCAGAAGAGAGTCTCTGACGAAGATCATCACATCTGGGCAGACTCATTTGCTAATAATAATAATAATAATAATAATAATAATAATTTTTATTTATACCCCGCCCTCCCCAGCCAAGGCCGGGCTCAGAGCGGCTTACATGCAATAATAAAAACAAGATGAATGATTACAACTTAAAAACAAAAATAAAATACAACATTAAAATAATGGAACATTAAAATATTAAAATGTAGCCTCATCGCAGGAGGAGAAGGAAAAAAAAAAAGAAAGAGAGGGAGGGAGGGAATCAAATTGGCTCCAAGCCAAAGGCCAGGCGGAACAACTCTGTCTTACAGGCCCTGCAGAAAGAAATCAGATCCTGCAGGGCCCTGGTCTCATGAGGCAGAGCATTCCACCAGGCCGGAGCCAGAGTTGAAAAGGCCCTGGCTCTGGTTGAAGCCAATCTAACTTCCTTAGGGCCTGGGACCACTAGGGTGTTGTTATTTATGGACCTTGAGGCTCTCTGTGGGGCATACCGGGAGAGGCAGTCCCGTAGGTACGAGGGTCCTAGGCCGTGAAGGGCTTTAAAGGGCAAAAGCAGCACCTTAAATCTGACCCTGTACTCCACCGGGAGCCAGTGCAGCTTGAAAAGCACTGGGTGAATATGCTCCCATGGCAGAGACCCCGTGAGGAGCCTCGCTGCAGCATTCTGTACCCGCTGGAGTTTCTGGGACAGCTTCAAGGGCAGCCCCGTGTAGAGCGAATTACAGTAGTCAAGCCTGGAGATGACCGTTGCATGGATCACTGTGGCCAGGTCGGGGCGGGAAAGGTAAGGGACCAACTGCTTGATGCGGCAAAGGTGGAAAAATGTCGCCTTGGCTGTTGCTGTAACTTGCGCCTCCATGGAAAGGGAGGCGTCAAGGATTACACCCAAACTCTTAACGGAAGGCAATGGCACTAATTGGGCCCCCGCAAGAGAAGGGAGTTGGTCCCTCATCCCCATGCCATCCCGACCTAGCCATAGGACCTCTGTCTTCGAAGGATTTAGTTTCAATCGGCTCCCACAAAACCATCCAGCCACAGCTTCCAAGCATCTGGTCAGTGTGTTCGGGGCCAAGTCGGTGTGGCCATCCATCAGCAGATAGAGCTGAGTGTCATCAGCATATTGGTGACAGCCCAGCCCAAAGCTCCGGATAATCTGGGCAAGGGGGCGCATAAAGATGTTAAAAGAATTGCGCCCTGCGGCACTCCACACACCAAGGAGTGGCGCGATGACATTTCCCTCCCTAGTGCCACCCTCTGTCCCCGACCAGAGATAAAAGAGCACAACCAGTTACGGGCTATGCCCTGTATCCCCACGTCTGCGAGGCGGTGGTCCAGAAGATCATGATCGACCATGACAAAGGCTGCTGACAAATCTAAAAGGATCAGCAGTCCTGACCCGCCTCGATCCAGTTGTCTACGGAGATCATCTGTTAGGGCGACCAGAGCTGTCTCCATCCCAAAACCAGGACGGAAACCGGACTGAAATGGATCTAATGCCGAAGGTTTGCTAGAAGGTTGCTCTTAAACTGAAGTCTTTATAGCTACAGTCAATGACCAGCACTTTAGCTGGATAAATTGTTTCAGGATTATCTGAAATGCAATAATAGAAGTACAATGCAAATAAGTAGCTGAGTACTAAAAGGAAGAAAAGTTTGATTTGTATGCTGCATAGTATTGTGGATACACTAATGAGCTGAGCACTCTGGGCAAATTCATTGTTGTCACACAATTCTGTTTTGCTGGCTTCCGTGAATCGTTTGGCATACCTGACATACCAATATAATACATTAATATATGCCTGTAGTTAGCATGTGTTACAAAATCTGAAACTGGGTAGTGTTGAATAATGAGAATGTCAAACTTTAAGGATACAATCCACCGGGAACTTGTCTCCAAGCAATGCTAAGGCAAAAGGGAATTGCATAAAAGTGCTCCTTTGTAAGAAGAACACACTGTTCTTGCACAGCTCCCTTTCAGATGGACTTGTGCAGGAGAACTTCCTAATGAACAATGTACTTTACATCAATGGGGGGAAATGTTAAAACAATATGCTGTACAACAATAGAGGAACTATTTGCCCAAGACGCCCCGTGCTATTTATGGAGCTAGCGTTTGTTGGAAAGTATTTGGTGACATGTTCCAAATTTGCTATCGAATGGCATTGCTCTTTACAAAATGTCCATGTCTAGAGATAATAACAACTGAAGTACAGTGGTGCCTCGCAAGACGAAATTAATTCGTTCCGCGAGTTTTTTCGTCTTGCGGTTTTTTCATCTTGCGAAGCACGGTGTTGGAAAAGCTTTGGGAAAGTTTCAAAAATCACCAAAGTCCTCAAAAACCTCAAAAAAGGCTACCACACCGCGTGCTATGAATTGCTCCTCGAAGTCAAGTCGCAACTGTATTAACGGTTTTAAGAAAAAGGAAACAAACTTGCAAGACGTTTCCGTCTTGCAAAGCAAGCCCATAGGGAAAATTGTCTTGCGAAGCAACTCAAAAAACCAAAAACCCTTTCGTTTTGCGAGTTTTCCGTCTTGCGAGGCATTCCTCTTGCGAGGTACCACTGTAGTTTTTAGATTTATCAGCCATGATCAATTTTGTGAAAATAAGAAGAGTGGAAAAGCAAGATTGGAAGAAAAATGATATGAGTATTGTAACTTCATTTCAGATGCCATTTCATAAATAGTGTCATGCCTTGCAAACCTTTGCACATCCTTGCTTGAGAAAGCATCAAGGAAACAAATGGGTGTGAAACCACTCATTGAAAGAAAAATGACTCTTCATTCTGCTTTTCTGGTTGGCCTGCTGGAGAAGCAATGCATATACATTTGGTATGATTTCAATTAAACTCTCTATGTATTACAATCTGGGCGTGCATTTAAGCTGACACTGAATTCCTGGACGCCTACATAATGTTAATGCACTTTTCCTTGGCACGCTGAACCCCTGCGCCTTTTTTTCTGACTACACTTGGGCTCCCTCTCGTGGCCCAAGGAAATACAAGAAAAACACATTTCCATTTTGTAGATATTTATATATTTTATATACAGTATTTTTGTGTGTGTGTTTTGTAGAGCCAAAGCATTCCTAGACATTTTATTAACATTTATTTGTAAACCCCTCATGGCCATGGTACCCATCAGCTTGACTAGCATCCTTGGTCATATGTACTCTTTTCCATTCCTCAGTGTAGGCTTGTGTCACGTCTGGTAGATCGGGTTCACTATTTTTAAAAAGCACTGCCTTGGGAAATAAATGCTCCTAGGTGGAATTCCGGAGAACAATCATTACTAGGGAAATATGGGCAATGTGTTGGGTCTCTGCATTCATACTTCTTTGGACAGCTGTGGAAGCAATTTTGAATGAACAAAACTGTAGGTTGGCAAACCTACATGAGGACATAGTGCCCTTTCTTCCCTAATCTGTGCTATGTAATTTGCAAGGAACGTATAAATTACTTGGTGAAAGCCATTTCAAGACAGGTTGAGCGTAAGCATTTTGTGTTAAGGAACAGAAGAGAGGGGGGACACAGAAGGAACATGCAGCGCTGCAGCAGATTTTTACAATTGTCAGCAATTTTGCAATTTTACAATTGCCAGTTTTTTCCATTGTCACTTTTACAATTGTCAGCAGCGGAAGGAGTGCGAGGGAAAGTTGATTTGTAGGGTGAGGGGAGATAAAGAACTGGCCTCCAGGGTCAAAAGTGTTCCCCATCCCCACTTTACACTAATTGGCAGGATTTCAGACAAGCCTATCTGGAGATGATGGGGATTGAAGAAAGCATCTACCACTGAGCTACAGCCCTTCCCAAATTGGATCAAACATAGTGAATGGATGCGATATAAGATAAAGCCACTTTTCTCTGCGGCTTCACCATCTCCTAACATCTGCACTTCACCCTTTTTGCAACTGTGTAAACGGTATTTGAAAACACCTTTTCTCCTGAAGACTGTGACCTTTAATCTCATCCCCTACTTTTCTTTCCCTTTTTCCTTATGGCCTTGTCCTTTTAAATTGCAAGCCTGTGTTTTGTCTTTTTAAAAAGGGGGTCTCATCCTTTTAAAAAGGGGATTTGTCCTTTTATTTCCAGTCGCTGCATAGCTCTTGCTTCTTGAAATACTTTATAGATGACTTAACAACCATTAATTTATTATTAATATATTGGTTGTCAACATTAACCAACAAGTAATGCAATTAAGGGACGCGGGTGGCGCTGTGGGTAAAACCTCAGTGCCTAGGGCTTGCCGATCGCATGGTCGGCGGTTCGAATCCCCGCGGCGGGGTGAGCTCCCGTCTTTCGGTCCCAGCTCCTGCCCACCTAGGAGTTCGAAAGCACGCTTAAGTGCAAGTAGATAAATAGGTACCGCTTTATAGCGGGAAGGTAAACGGCATTTCCGTGTGCTGCGCTGGTGCCGGCTCGCCAGACCAGCTTTGTCACGCTGGCCACGTGACCCGGAAGTGTCTCCGGACAGCGCTGGCCCCCGGCCTCTTAAGTGAGATGGGCGCACAACCCTAGAGTTGGACACAACTGGCCCGTACGGGCAGGGGTACCTTTACCTTTAATGCAATTACTATTTGCACCTTTGAGATTGCGTCAGAAAGAATGTATAGGAAAGCATGACAAGAAAGACACGAATGGTCTAGTGCGGAATTAGTGGGCCGTGAGAGGGGCTGTTGTGTGTCTTGAAATATTGTTGCCTGGTTTATATATTATTAAAACTGTATTGGTACAATATAAGATGAAAATCAGGATAAAACCCAGCCCAAGGCAGTATACTGTCTATATGGGCTCTAAAAACCAGCAAGGGGGTTGGATGGGAAGTGATTTGTGCCAACTACCTAAAGTGTAGTAAAAGCATCTGTTTTAAAAGCCTGAGAAAATAAAAAAGTTTTCATTGTATGCCAAAAAGAACACGATGTAGTTATGCAACCACACTCTGCACCCTTTGAAACAGGGAGGACCTGTTCAGCATGAATTCTCATTGCCAATGTATGGGAACTGATGCACCAGAATTTCATGATGCAGCTGACAAGTATATGGTAACCCTAGAAACACCAGCCTTCTTCAGAAAATGCAGTCCAATTCCTTGGCTCTGATTGACTGGCCAAAGAGAAGGGTAGGGTTTTGCGGCGAAACTGTGACCCTGCGGGTGAGTGAACCAAAGGTTCATTTTATGGGGTGCTGTGAAATGTGGGGTTTTCACCACCAAAAGTTGCAGAGGACCATTTGCCGGTGTTTGCACTGCTTTCGAGTGAATCGGATGTCAAGGGGATGGTATCCACAATATAAAAAATACTCCTCCAAAATCCTACAAACCCCCTCGATGTAATCAAAAAACAATGGGAAGACGACATAGTCTATGAGATTAACCCCACCCAATGGAATAGAATGTGGTCTAAACCTCCCTTTAAATTCATCTAAGCAAAATAAAAGAACTGACTCTGAAACTCATTTACAGATTGTACCTAACACCACAGAAACTGGCGCTGATATGCCCAGGAGCCTCACCAAAAGGCTGGAGAGGATGCACCTCCACAGGCACATACTTCCACATGTGGTGGTAATGTTCCCAAATCCAACTCTTCTGGACATCAGTTATATGCAAAAATAACTAAGCAAGTATTAGAACTGGTCCCACTGACCATCTTCCAAGGTAATAATGCCCACTTACATTATAAAGAGCTTATAACCCACCTACTCTCAGTAGCCAGAGGCATCATAACCAGACACTGGAGAGACCTGTCAGTAGTAAGCATGGACCAATGGTATCAAATAGAATGGGAAATAGCCTTATTAGAAATACTAACCAATAAACTGAAACGGATGTGGGGACAAATAGAAGATGCCTTCACCCTGGTATGGTTCCCCTTTATCACATACATAGCCCAACAAGACAACAAGCATATGAATCAATCTGGCTAACTTGATCCAAAAATCTACACACACACCGTGCGCGCGCGCACACACACACACACCTCACTCCAGCCTACCAAAGACAACCAACCACACCCTAGGTCACCCCCAACCTGTCTCACCACCAAGGAAACACAACAAGCAAAAAGTAAGAGAACCCACATAAGTGATACTGACACAAAACCCCACACATACACTAAGTAGAATAGAAGCATAACCTAGATAAGTATTGAATGTCACTGATTATGAGGTTTTTGACTGGCAAATGTTGCTTAGACGTACTGCAACAATATATTATAGAGCTGCCAATAATTCTCATTCGCTGTTTTTTATTGAAAAAGAAAAGCTAATCTTTGACATGTTTCTCAACATATTATTTGAAATTACATTTGCTTTTATTGTCAAAGGAAGAGAATGGTTATTGACATCATTTTTACGTTTGTATCTGTTTTGCACAGTTTATGTTTTTATTAGTGAATTATACTCTTTTGGAAGACGTGTGTAAATTCTGTTGTTTGAATCTCCTTTGTACTTTTGTCCTTCCTTAATGCATGATGACTAAATTTGATTAACAAAATATCTAACAAATCATTTGATTATTTATTTATTTTTGCACCCGATGCCATCAGAACAATTTAATTTTCATTTAACAGCCGTGTTTCTTATGTCTCAAAATCCACAGTGGATGGAGGATTTGACTAACAAATTGGCACTGAAGTAATATAATGAATCATGCCTGTTGCTGTACACGGCTGATACTTGAGGCCAGTGTTTAAAAACAAGATGTTTTTTAAAAAAATTACAGTGCCATCTGTCCAAGTTCTAAAGGAGGAAACCAATCTAGATTCAAACCAGAATGCAAACTCTGAGATCTACGGGCACAGGGCGGTATACAAATCTAATAAAATATTGTCCTTTTCGTTGTGACATCCACCACAAACACAGCTCCTAACCCCAAGAGCTCTGATATTAGCCCTCTTCCTAAAAAATGTACCCCACTAGTTGGCAGGGGCACCCCCCTTCCAAAGGCATTCCCAGCATCATCGATATCGCACCCCCACAGCTGTGAGGACTCTTTACATAAATGGGCAATTTACTCAGATTCTGATCCTCAATGGCTTTCTCCACGGGAGCAGAAACACGAGTACAAGGACTTTTCCACAGTAGCTCACAGTACGTGGCATGCTTTCCCCAGCAAGGCTTGCCAGGTGCCTTCCCTCCAATTGTTCTAAGAATTCAAAGGCCTCAAATATGGAATAAATATTCATAAAAGGTAAAGGTAAAGGGACCCCTGACCATTAGGTCCAGTCGTGGCCGACTCTGGGGTTGCGACGCTCATCTCGCTTTTTTGGCCAAGGGATCAGGCATACAGCTTCCGGGTCATGTGGCCAGCATGACTAAGCCGCTTCTGGTGAACCAGAGCAGCACATGGAAACGCCGTTTACCTTCCTACCCAAGCGGTACCTATTTATCTACTTGCAGTGTGGTGTAGTGTAGAGAGCCAGTGTGGTGTAGTGGTTAAGAGCGGTAGAATCGTAATCTGGTGAACCGGGTTCGCTTCCCCACTCCTCCACATGCAGCTGCTGGGTGACCTTGGGCTAGTCACACTTCTTTGAAGTCTCTCGGCCCCACTCACCTCACAGAGTGTTTGTTGTGGGCACGGAAGGGAAAGGAGAATGTTAGCCGCTTTGAGACTCCTTCGGGTAGTGATAAAGCGGGATATCAAATCCAAACTCCTCTTCTTCTTCTTGCACTTTGACGTGCTTTTGAACTGCTAGGTTGACAGGAGCAGGGACCGAGCAACGGGAGCTCACCCTGTTGCGGGGATTCGAACCACCAACCTTCAGATCGGCAATTCCTAGGCTTTGTAGTTTAGACCACAGCACTACCCGCGTCCCATATAAAGCCACTTGTCTGGAAAAGTATGGGAGAGCAATCTGGAAGGCATTTTGACTCTCCCGACAACCTCAAACATTCCTCTGCAGTAAGGGAGGCAAATGGGGAAAACCTTCCTGTTGTCTTTTCTGCTTACAAACCCCATCTTATGGGGGCATTTGTGTAGGGATAGGGTGAGCCTAGGACCTGAATTCAGGAAAGTATAAAGCATTCCAGAAGAATGGCCAGGCTGTCCAGGTAACACAAACAGCAGCTGTTTTCAAGTACCTGGCCGATGGGATTTCTGCTGCAGATCGCCTCCTATGGTGGATGTATGATTTTTGGGTGGTCTTTGGCTTTAAAGGCTCCTGCACCCTTTTGTTCAGGGTCTCTCCCTCCTTGGAAGAGAGGGAACTCTGTTTCAGCAGAAAAATAAAGATCTGCCTTGCTTTCCACTGGATCCTGCCTCCATCCATTCTTCTCAGAGTCCCATGGGAGAGTTGGGCAGCAAAAGCCAAACCCCAATTTTTACCTCCATTTCTTTAGGCACCAGGGGAAAAGATTCCTCTATAGTCAGAAAGCATTATGTATGACCTGGGCGGGGCCATTTTGTTGATGTTATTTTTTGGTGTTTTTATACCCTAAGCCGCCCTGTGATTGTAGAAATAAATAACACAAAAAAGGGTTTTCTTATTTCGAAGGGAGGTCAAAGACCAGACAGAAAAAAGGACGGAGCAGCAGGACAGACACCAGGCAGACGAGGCAGCCATGAGGTCCCTCAAAAGCGGGCATTTCTGAGGAAAACCGACCCTTGTTTTGCTCCTCCTTCCGCAAAACGAAGCAATCCGCCCCACTCGGAGTATGAACGACAGAAGCGCCAACAGCGCATGCGCGCGGAAAGCAGGCGCTGAGGAAAATGGGGCGGAGCCGGGAAAGTAAGTATAAAAGGCGGGGCTAAGAGCGGAGGGGGAGAATCGTTTTTTGGGGGGGGGTTGTGGGCGGGGCATAGCCGCGTGACGGTGACGCAGCCGGGCGTGAGGAGACCATAGAGACTCGGAACTTTTGCGCGGAGGCCGGAAGTGAGTTGGGAGTGCGGGCTCGGCGCTGAAGCCGCTGAGTTAGGGCCGTGGAAGTGAGGAGCCGACCGGCGGGGGCGGCGAAGATGGCGTCGTTCGTTACCGTGCAGCTGAAGAAGGCCTCGGAGGTGGACTTGGCCAAGCCGCTGTGCAAGTTCATCCAGCAGACGTACCCCGGCGGGGAGTCTCAGGCCGAGCACGTCCGCGCCGCCGAGGAGCTCCACAAGCTGCGCAAGAGCGCGCTCGGGCGCGCGCTCGACAAGCACGAGAGCTCGCTCGAGACCCTCCTGAGGTGAGCGAGCGGGGGAGGGGGAGGGGAGCAGGCGCGCGCGCGTTGGCGGCGGCCGTTGGCGGGGGAGGAGGGGGGGAGAGAACAGGTGAGGTGACGGCGAGAGTGACGCTGCGCTGCGGCCGCGCCCTCAACCGGCGAGCCGGAGCCGTTGGGCCTCTGCTCCAGGCGGGGAAGCCGCGGGCTCGCAAACGTCCCGAGCGCTTCGTTTTTCTCAGACACGGTACAAAAAAAAAAAAGTTGTTGCCGGCGGATCAAAGTTAACGAGACAACCTCTCGGCGCAGGGTTTGCACTCCTCCCCACCCGCCGTCTGGGAATGTGCTTTTAAACGAATTTTAACCGATACTCTTCCTCGTACTTTACCTTCCGCCCTCTTACACAACCCAGAGAGGGAGGCGCCTTCTCCTTCCTTCTCTTCGCCTTCGGGTTTTTTTTTATTATTATTATCATCGTACAACTCCGGAGATCTTGTTCCTTTAAAAGAGTGTTTATTCCGGAGTGGCTGCTCCGAAATAGGCGCCGCTCCGTGTCTGTGCTTGTCATCGATAACTCCCCCCAACCGGCCTCTATGCTCTTTTCTTGCTTTGCCGTTTCTCAAAGCCTTCCTCTTCCCAAAGTGCATCGTTTCGAACGGAGGGCAAACGTCCCAACAGGGCGATCCGATGCAGGTTTCCTTGGAAATGAATCGCTGTGTCCAGTGGCAGCTTATCCTCCAGCAAATGTGTTCAGAAAATGGTGCCCAAGGCTTTCCATAACGGGCGGAGCGGGGCGGGGGGGGGGAGCATCTGTCTTTTCTCATGGACTCCGGTGCCTTTTCGGTTGGGCCTGGATTATATGGGGATCTGTTAGCTTTTCGGCAGGGAACAAAACGATTGCAGGTGGGAAATGTGTAGGGAAAAGATGGGGAAGCATTGAAGGTGAGAGGAATGCTGTCGATGGTAAAGCAAAGGAACTTCCGTGTGTCATACAGAAGTTTATACTGCGGGAGAAATTGATCCGGAAGGCCCTGCACAAAGCAGCAGATTTAGGTGTGTCCCTGCTGCCCAGACTTTGACATAGGGTAACACGGCCTGGCATATGAAACTCTGGGCTGCTGTTAGCAATGCCCTGTTTTGTAAACACTACAGTAAAGCTATATTTTCCCGTCTTCTGCTGCTTGGCGTTCTGAACTTGAATGCTGCGCAGTATGAGTGAAATAGTGCAGATTAATTATGCTCCATTTTGCAAACAGGGCGGCAACCTAAGAGAAGTCCTTTTAAACTTTTTGGATAGTCACTTCATACTCTAGGTAGGAGAACCTGTTTTTCTGCTTTATAATTTTTTATAAATGGGCCAAGAACTCCAGCTGTCCCAATTCCCATAAGATAATTTTAAAAGGATATTATCAGAATGAAAGAAGAGTTTATAAATGATAATGCCATTAAAAATTAGGGTGGATTGACTTACATAAAGTTTCCCATTTTGAAACTTCATATAGTTTTTGAGCAAGCATGTATTCTAAATGGTTGCTCTTAACAATTCACACACTTTGTTTAGCAATATTCTCCCCATTCCTCCCCCCTGGCCATCCCTAAATAGGCATGAGGGGGGTTGGGAGAACCCCCAGAACAGCACCTGGAGGGAGTAGAAGGGGAATTGTTCCACTAGGTAAGCAGAAATGCTTGTGATCTCCTTAGTGCCATGTTGAATTCCTCCCTTAGACTTTAGCTACCTAGTGGCTTCTGGCATGGTGTTGAATACCGTATTTTTCGCTCTATAAGACGCACCAGACCACAAGACGCACCTAGTTTTTGGAGAAGGAAAACAAGAAAAAAAATATTCTGAATCTCAGAAGCCAGAACAGCAAGAGGGATCACTGCACAGTGAAAGCAGCAATCCCTCTTGCTGTTCTGGCTTCTGGGATAGCTGCGCAGCCTGCATTCGCTCCATAAGACGCACTCACATTTCCCCTTACATTTTAGGAGGGGAAAAGTGAGTCTTATAGAGCAAAAAATACGGTAATCCCAGAATTTTGGTTTTGGGTGATTTCAGCATTTACACTGAGACCACCCTGGGTAGACAATCTTTAGATATCATCTGTGTCATGATGTTCATCAGCAACCCAACATATGAAACAGGACCTGATTCCCCCTTCACCCCCTCCCCCAGGCGAGCATCAGGTTCATAGTGGACTGGATGGGATAATGGTTACCCTATTGCCATAGTCTGACCTGGGAAGATTTGGGCTGATGGGAACCCCTATTATGAGAACAAGAAACTGGTATTGACTGGATGGGTCCAGGAAGTAGCTAATGCCTTGCTGCAGGAATTGGTGCTACCAGCTACATTGAACATGCCTGGATCCAGAAGATGAACTTTGTTGCAAACATCCCCACCTTCTTGAGGAAAGTGGCTGCAACTTCAAGGGTGCTTGTAGGAAGCTTGTTATTTCACTACATTTCAAACTGGCCTAATGCCTGGTTTTAGCAGCAAAACTGCTTTAGTAACTCTTGATTGACTGTCTTGGGGGAAAGACAGAAGGAGTACTGTCAGCCATGAGGGGGCTGGAGACTCAATGTTTCCGTGGTTTGGCTTCAGCATACGGGGCCAAATACAAAGAGTGGCAGTGAGGAGGTGTGTTTGCTTACTTGCCCTATGGCCATTTTGTCCTATGCTCTTCTGATTTGTGTATGAAGCCATCAGGAGTAGGCACCTGGAGATTTGCAGCAAAGTGCCACCAATAATTGAGCAACATTCAGCTGTGTTTCTTGCATAATCTGCATTTGGTGAATGCGCTGTGCCTTTTTTTAGTGCATGGATGTAGTAATGGCTTTAATTGAAGCCAATAAGCTGAAAATGAATCCTGATAAGTCAGAAGTTCTATGGTGTGGTATTACTCAAATACGGGAAATGGGAACATACTCTATTCTTAATGGGGTGCACTCCCTCTAAAGGGCCAGGTATGTAGATTGGACTCTCTGACTCTCTTTCTGTGCACTCTGTCACTTGAGGCCCAAGTAGTCTTCATGATATGGATTGTCTTTCTCCACCTCCAGCTGGTTCACCAGCACCAGCTGTTGCTAGACAGGGGTTGCCTGGCTATGTTTCTGTCACCTGATGCCTAAATGATAGCAATGAGGTCTCTAGGGGAAGCGCCACCACAGGAAACAAAAAATCCACCCACAGTACTGTAGGTGGTGGTGTCACCCAGAGATAAGCCTCAGTGGGTGGGTTGATACAGTTAGCCATTACAACAAATATCTGGGTCCTAAGCTTTTTTGGGCTTCAGATGTCATGTTTAGCATTTTGACTTTAATTAGGAGCCGGTGGAGTTGTTTCAATACAGGCAAGCTGTGATCTGTTCGGATGATCCCTGTTAGTGATGTTGCCACACTGTTCTGGACCAGCTGCAGTTTCCAAGCAGTCCTGAAAGACAGCTGCACATAAAATGCATTTCAGTGGCCCAGCCTGAAAGTTTTCAAGGTGTGAATAACTGGCTAGGCACATACAAACTTGTTTTCCAGAAGTAACTCTGGAAAATGCTCTTTTTCTGTTATTAATTGGGAAAAGAAACTGCCTAGGTAAAAAACAAAGCAAAGGTTTTCCTGTTTTAAAATAAACAAAAAAGTGAGCACATGATTTTTAAAAAAATACAGTACTGCTTTATTTCAAATGCTTGGTTTGAAACTAATGCTGCTGTAAAATAAAGATTCATAAAAAGAAGAGCCATAGTCCACAACCTGTTGCTCATTCACTGAAGTAATTTAGTGACTGATCTGAAAGTGTTTTTAGTGGTTATATTAAAAGCATTTTTACCTAAATATGGATCAATATATTGATATAATGTTGCTAAAATTGCAGTCTGTAAACATCTGCAGAATGCAAAATAGTTACCTCTGAAGTGCTCACATCTAACTTAGATCATGTATGATCTAGTTGAAATTCCTGCATTGTTGTTTTCTTGGTATGTTGATAGTCACTTTATGACTTTTTATAAAGCAAACATCACTCTTATTCTTATGCATATTTACTTACTTATTTCAGATACTATGATCAGCTGTGTTCCATAGAGCCAAAATTTCCATTTTCTGAGAATCAGGTAATGCATTATGTCTCGTTAAACATTGTTTTGATAGGCATTGAAATGCCCCAAGAGCGGCATGAAACTGAGTGGATGGCAGTTTCTGTTCATGTGTATGAGACTGAAGTCTTATCCTTGAAGAACAATAGCAACCATTTTATAGCTGTTGTATACGTGGAAAGAGGGACCGATGCTTTGAAGCAAACTGGCTTCACAAGCGATTTGTATGTGTATAATTAAATGACTCCCATTAAAATTAATGACAGTTCAAATAACTTTACTGTGTTCAACATGCTTATAGTTATTAATTTGGAGTGGAGGCTGCAAGTCCAGATGTGCTTTTGCTTGATAGAAGAGATTGAGAAAGATTGCTGTGAATGTGTTCAGAGCCCCCATTTTCATCAGACCATTGCTGTTTTCCTGACAATTTGTTCTGCATTTTGCTTAATAATGTAATTCTTACTTTGAGCTTTAAAACTTTTGTCTGCATTTGGCATGTATATTTCTGCTTAGATTTTCTTGGAACGCCTGCATCAATTACCCCTCCCCCCCCCCAAAAAACCTGGTACCCTCCATGTGTTGTTGGACTACAGTTCTCATCATCCCTGACCTTTGGCTTTGTTGGATGGGGTTGAGGAGCCTTGGAGTCCAGTAACATATGTAGGGCAAGAGGATGGGGAAGACTGATCCATATCTTTCTTAAAACTGGAAATTAACTTTCTGTTCTCATACTTACAGATCTGTGTAACCTTTACCTGGAAAGATGCTTTTGACAAAGGGTCGCTCTTTGGAGGATCTGTCAAACTTGGTAAGCTTCTCCTATGAAAATGAAATCTGAGTTAAATTGTATAGTATTGAGATACAGAAAAATAAGTGAAATTTGTACAGCCTTTCAGTTCCATGTTTTCAGTCATCATTTTAAAAGATCAATATTTGAAAGAAGCCATATATTTATATTTACCAGCTAGCTGAGTGCAAGCAGGGGATTCCTGAAAATGTAATTCTATACACAGAATGCAGGCATATGTTCTCTATATCAAGGTTGAGTTAGGTTTTTTTTTTTTTTAAAAAAAAGTGCATTGAGGCATTTCTAAAGTAATTAGAATATTTATACTTGCAAAATGTATACTTTCCATGCACATTTTCTTTCAGCTTTGGCAAGTTTGGGCTATGAAAAGACTTGTGTGCTGTTCAATTGTGGAGCATTGGCTAGCCAGATAGCAGCAGAACAGAATCTTGACAGTGATGAAGGATTGAAAGCTGCTGCTAAACATTATCAGGTATTTCTTTTTCTCTCTAACATATGATTGAAATTGCTATTAGTTGTCTTGAAATTTGGCCATGTATGATTGATTCTATGTTCAAAAAGCTACACCTTGGTTGTGGGACAATGACCTTTCATTCTTGGACAAGGTGGTGAGAAATATATAGTGGGTTTATTCACTTTGAAACACAGCAAACCTGGATTTAAGTTGTAGCTTTGCCATATATAAATTGGCTGCCCTAGGGCATCATGCTACATTTCAAATTTATTCTGGTTCAGATAGGGAACCAGTAGTCTGACTTAAAAGGGAGCAAATCCTATGAAAAGCATAGTTGGAATTGCATGTGTTCACTTTTCTTTGGAATATGAGAGGCTGCTGGGCAGCAAAGCCTACCTCACCCCATTCTGTTTTTGAAAACTGAGGAAGCATATGAAACAGCTAACTGTATCATGACAACTGTCTACACCATCTGTCTGGTACCCTTCAGGTTTTTCTGTTATTATAACTCTTGTCAGCCCCAGCCAGCACGATGAGTGGTCAGGAATGATGGGAGTTGTAGTCCAAAACATCTGGAGGGCACCAGGGTGGGGAAGGTTAGTCTACATACTTCAAAAGGTCTGAACTGCTGAGGGAAGTACATAGGCCTTAACTCTGAGATCATTGAAGGAATTTGGAAAGACATCAGTTGACACCGTCACTGTTTGCACAGATGGGAGTATTGTCAGTTTTTTTCAGGTGTCCTGAAAAGAAACAACAAACAACATTCTTGGATATCGGCACAGACATGACAATGATTTAAAGAATTATACTTTTATAGATTTCCCTTTCATAGCAATTTAAAATAGGCCACAATATAGTTTTCTAATACAGAGGAGGTATATTTTACAGACTTAGAAAAAAATGTGACTTTTGAGCTCTTAGTGTTTAAGCAGCATTGCCTCTCTGTCTTGCTGTAACCTCAGAATTGTTGGTGTTAGCATCACTCGGTCTAGCTCAAAAATCTGAGTTCTACTAAATACAAAACCAGCAGAAGCCTAAACATGCAAGATGTTTGTTCATCATGATATCAAACATGTGTCTTTAATAGAATATCATTTTCTCTCAAGTTTGCTAGTGGTGCCTTCCAGCACATTAAAGATACTGTCCTCTCGTCATTAAGTCGAGAACCTACAGTGGACATCTCCCCAGATACAGTTGGAACACTAAGCCTAATCATGCTGGCTCAAGCTCAAGAAGTCTTTTTTCTAAAAGCTACCAGAGGTATGTAATGGTCTACTTGTAATATTTACATTTCAGTTTTTTGTTTTGCTAGGAACTACAACAATTAGCATTGCTCCTAATTTCAATGAAAAGCTTTTCAGTGTGGTCAGCTGAGCAGTCCCAACTGGAGAAGACCTTCCCCAGAGTTTGGAGAGGATGTCCCCTTTGGGCTCTGGGGAGGGTCTCATTGCAAGCCTGCAAGTGGCACTTTGTTGAGGCTCTTCAGGTTTCTTCTCCCTAATTCTGGATTTCTGGGGCTACGTGTAAATTGAACACACGTAAATAGGGGTTGCCTATATATTCCACTGTGTCCTCTAACATGCACATTCTGCAACCTCACCTGCTACCACAGCTAAGGAGCAGCTAGTGAACCACTGTCTTTTATTAATTTACCCTTAGTAATGTAGAAAATTGATTGGGCCACTTGATAAATTTATTTCATATTTTGCTGTATTTATATATGCATTTATATCCCATCTTAAAAAAAATATTACAATGCAGCAAGCAAAATAGTATGAGCAATAAAATCTATTAGTAACATGCTGCTGGTTACAAACAAGCACAGCAACTGTTTGCTCTGGAGCTGGTTTGTTTTTTATTAAGATCATGTATTTCTGAAAGCTTAATAAGATTATTGTAGGCTAGTAGATTGCTAGAGTACTGACATTTGATTTATAAGTTTGAGTAGAAAATGTGGGGAGCAGTAGTTGTGGGGGGAAGTATGGATCATCATATGCATTTTAGAAGTGCATCAACCATTTGGATTATTTGCAAAGCAGATTTGAAGATGCTATAATATAACTTTCACACAACAGCCTAGTTAATACTTGGATTTAAAAAGTGTGGTTCAAAACAGTGACATGATTAGAGCTTGCAAACCCTGATAAGGCTCTTCTACCAAGTTTATGTTGTAGATGTGGAATATAATGTCTGATAACTGGACTTCCTTTTGGAAATCTATTATTTGATTTAGACATTTCTGAGAAATATTGTATTCTATTAATTCTAAGAGATTTGAATGAAATTCTTTAATAGGCTGTAAGTTCCAAAAGCTAAACAATGTGGCTGCTTTAGTGTACATAAAATTTTCAGAACTTTTAACACAGACCACACATTTCCACTGGATTTTAATATGATCTTACTCCTGTAAGTTGTACATGCAAAAAGTACTGCCTTGCTACTGCTTTTCAAACTGTCATATGTTTTAATGGTATCTATATTTTGTTTTAGATAAAATGAAAGATGCCATCATTGCTAAACTTGCAAATCAAGCTGCTGACTATTACGGCGACGCTTTCAAACAGTGTCAGTACAAGGATACATTACCCAAGGTTAGTAACTTCCTAGTGAAGGCGGCTTATGAAGAAAGGAAAATTTAGGAATCATAACTAAATTTTGAAGAATCCCACATGAAGCCAATGAATACTTGCTAATTGTTATAGATTTAGGAAAGCACATGGATTCATTCCAACTTGTTGCTTCAACATTATGTCCTTCAGTTAGACAATCTGGTTTATTTATTTAAATTTATATACTGCTTGATTGTAAAAAATACAAACCTGTAAAAAATGTTTTTACAAAATTTTTATTTGGGATGTTTCTCTGACTCTCCCCCTCTGCCTGGGAATGTGGTTTCAATTCTTTACTAAAAAATTAATTCAAACTAACATACTTCGTAATGGAACTTATGCTTCGGTCTTTACTGTACCATCCTCTTTCGCAACCAAAAAACTGATCTTGAGATAGGCTTGGTGGCAGTATGCGTGTGCTGTTGCTTGATTTCATGGCTTTCAGAAACAGATAATAAAAGCAAAAATGTTATTTCAAACTTCCTCCTTTTCAAGATGTACGTTAGCTGTACTTGTGTCTCAGTTATTTGGATGCAGTCGCAACTCTAGAGTTGGTGTAAGGGCCTGTGTAAGTTAGTAATATGGTGCTTTTGTTAGGAGACATTGCTGCTGGCTTGGATATCAATCCTTAAATTTTCAGAGGGGCTATGTTTTCAGGTTCAGCAGCCCTCCTTTTCCTTGCTATAGTTGCCGCTTGAGTTCATGTGTCAACACTTTTTAAATTAATTTAGTAAAAGGGCTGGGTGTTGCTTTTCCACTAGATTTGCCCCTTTGCTTCATGCTCAGCACAGCTACTGAGAGTGAGCTAGGAAAGTCAGGAGGAGCTGATAACAGGATGGACCTTGGAATATGTGCACTGGTATGCAGTTCAGTAATTATGACTCATTCATTTTATGCCAACTTACACCTTGTTTACATGTGCAACACATATAGCCTATTCTGTGTCAAACCTTAAACCTGGTTGCAGGTGGAGATCATTTTTAAAGACTCTGTGTATGTTTCATAGGAAAGCAACAGGCTTTTAAAACGTTGCTGTATTCTACCACTACCTTTTGTTGTGTGTATAGACCAGACATAAAGCTTTTTGTAGACCAGACATAAAGCTTTCTTGGAAGAATGTTTTAAAGTTTGAATTCCTTTTGCACAAGCACTTTCAGTGAGGCTGCAAATAGAAGATGATGTAACCTCTTACGTAATCATTGACAGGGAAGTAATTAGAAGCTGCTTCAACAATTGGATCCATTTTGCTATGTTAGTCAAGTTTACACATACTGTCTGTTCCACATTGTCATATCCAGCAACTTCAAGATGAATTCTTCCCATGTGAATTGGCAGATCACAGGGATTCTCAAGAATAGCACAATCACAGTAGTTCCTCCTTGAAGAATTATGCTCAGTGGATCTCTACCTCTTTCTGTGCAGTTATGTATTTAATATTCAGTAAGAACTTAAGCCTGCCAATGGCCCATTTAGTCCAGCATCCTGTTTTCCTGGTGGTCAGCCAGATGTTTGTGGGAAGCTGGGAAGCTGCACTCTCCTTGTGTGATTCCTAGTACAGTAACTGCATTCAGAGACCTCAGACCATGGAGTTAGAACATAGACATTGTGGCTAGTAGCCATCAATAGTTTTATCCTCCATGAATTTGTCTAATCCTTTTTTTGAATCCACCCAAGTTGGTGGCCGTCATAACCTCTTGTGGGAGCAAATTCTGGAGTTCTCCATGCAGTATGTGAAGAAATTCTTTCTTTTGTCTGTCCCGAATTTTCCAACATTATTTCAACATTACTTCAAGTTCTAGTGTTATGAGCGAGGGATAAAACTATTTCTCTATCCACTCTTTCCACACCTTGTATAATTTTATACACCTCTTTCACATCTCATTTTGCCTTTTCTCTAAGCTAAAAAGCTCCAAATAAGAAAAAGCAGTTGCCATGCAGAGAAATAAAGCTGTACATAGATGCATATGTGGACTGACCCACATAACTGTGAACCTTGTAACTGGCAAAAAATGGCTCTATATTGCTCCTTTGTGTGATCTTATACTGGCTTCTGTTCATATAGTTGGAACTATATGGAATAGCTGGTTGGCATCCCAGCTGTACTTCCTCATTCTTATTTGAGTTGTTAATCTTTGTTAAATAAGATTACTAAGCTTGGGTTCAGTTAGCTGAACTGAACTACTAAGCAAATTTAAAATGTGCCCAAATTATATTTATTTTTATACAGCTGTGCTCATACTTCCACCAAACTTCATCCATGTAATGTTACATGGGTGGGTGTCCATGGCTTCTCATGTCTTAACCTTTCTAAACCATTAATTGGGTGACTCTAATGTCCTGTTCTTCTTCCTCTTTCCTCCTGCATCCCATGTTGTCTGTGATGGTTTATGTGGTTGGACTTTCCCCTGGTCAGTATTTTTATTTCCAGGAGGTGTTTCCTGTTCTGGCAGCAAAACACTGCATAATGCAGGCCAATGCAGAATACCACCAGTCTATCCTGGCAAAGCAACAGAAGAAATTTGGCGAAGAAATCGCAAGATTGCAAGTGAGTAACGTCATTTCCTTTTTAGAATGCTGTAATTGGTTCTGGCTCTAGAAAGATTTAAGTATTGCCGGGGGGGGGGGGGGGGGCACCTGAAGACTTTTAAAAATCACCTCGCATCTGATTTCAACCTCAATTAGGAGGCTGAAGTCCAAGCCTGCAACAGTGTTAACTAATGTACAGTGGTACCTCGGGTTACATACACTTCAGTTTACATACGCTTCAGGTTACAGACTCCGCTAACCCAGAAATAGTACCTCGGGTTAAGAACTTTGCTTCAGGATGAGAACAGAAATCGTGCTCCAGCGGCGCGGCGGCAGCAGGAGGTGCCATTAGCTAAAGTGGTGCTTCAGGTTAAGAACAGTTTCAGGTTAAGAGCGGACCTCGGGAACGAATTAAGTACTTAACCCGAGGTACCACTGTATTCCATTTTGACAGTAAAAAATTAACTGGATGATAATTCTATAGGATGAAACAGAGTTTCTCAAACTGTGTTCTGCAGAAGCAATCCAAGGGATTGTAAAAGAAAGTTGTGAGATTCATTGAGCTGCAGCCACACATAATCAAATGTACCACTTGAGCAATTGTCCTGGAAATCATTTCCCCTTGCCATGCTTTCCAGGGGTCGAATCAGTAGTGGTAGGCAGAGCAGCATTGCTTGCCTGGCTTTCCAATGTTGATATGCTCCTGCCAGTTACCAAAGGCCAGCTGCCTCCAACCTCCCATTCTCAGTAACCAGCAGCAACTTGTGGTGTTGGGAAGCCAGGTAAGCAATGCTGCTCTGCCCATGACAACCCACGACTGTGTTAGTGGTGCCATTCAAGCACACACCACGAGAATCCTTTCCCCTCCCGTTAGCACTTTCTATTGAACTGCAGTCTGATGGCAAGAATTAAATATGCTGCTTCTTTAACATAGTAAGAACTGTCTCAGATAAGGGCCAAAGACTTTAAGGTTGACAAAGCAAAAACATCTCCCTTCCACAGCAAAAATAAAGATTTTAAGATGGAAGTGGCTTTCATTACTCCTAATGGCTACCACAGTGACATTGAAACAAGGATAATAACAATAAGAGTTATTGTTATTATTTTATTTATTTAATTTAGATACTGCCCTTGATGAAAAGATCCCAGGGTGGTGTACAATGTTAAGAACTCATTTCACGGAGCGTAGTAATGAAAACATAGCACAAAGCATAATAGTAAAATAATCATCATAACTATCTCCCCTGCACCACACCTTTAACATGCCATAGATTATTTAATGGCCAAAGGCCTTTGTAAAAAAGGAATGGTTTTGCCTGGTGCCTAAAGCCATGCAATAACGGCAAGAGGTGAGCCTCTGGGGGGGAGCATTCTACAAATGGGAGCCACTACAGAAAAGGTGTGTTCTTGCATTGTCACCCTCCGAACCTCTCAGGGAAGGGGGACATAGGGAAGGGCCTTGGATGACAAGAGCAGAGTCTGGGTCAGTTCGTACAGGGAGAGGTATTGAGGTTCTGAGCTTTGTAAGGCTTTATAGGTCAACACCAGCACTTTGAATTGGGCCCAGAAACTAATTGGCAGCCAGAAGGCCGGATTGGCGTTATATGCTTAATGTGAATAAGTGTGTGTGTGTGTGTGTGTGTGTGTGTGTATACAGACACATTTCTGTTTATAGTACCAAGCTTTTTGTCCTTTCATATTTCCTCTTCCTCCTGTTCTAGGAAAAGGTGGATTCTGCTGGGTTTTTTGCAGCAAATATATTGTCACTAAAAAGGCACCTGAGCACTATAAGAGTAACGTGTTCTGGACATACTACGGTTTATTCATTTTTATTGGGTTTATTTTTTATTGCTGGGTGTTTGTTAGGGACTTTGACCTAGCTTGAAACAGAAGTGTATCTTTTGGGAATCAGTTTAGATATTTAACTCTACTGGCATTGAAAGTTTCAATCCCATATTCACTTACATGACAGTAAGTCCCATGAAATACAACAGGGCTTACTGAGTAGGCATGTACAGTATTGCACTGTAAAAGAGGATATCTGAACATTATGTTAGAAAGCATTGGAGCAGAAACTAAATATTTGGTTCTGTAAATTCCTGGCAAACACCTTGCAAACTCTTTTGGATATGTATGTTACCTTTATAGTCCTGATTGTTTCTATATTAGATATTGCAGTTGTATGTAGAAACCAAGTGTTAACTTTAACTTTATTTTTAATTTAGCATGCTGCCGATCTAGTAAAAACAGTGGCATCTCGCTATGATGAATATATAAATGTAAAAGACTTGTCTGATAAAATCAGCCGTGCACTTACAGCTGCTAAGAAGGACAATGACTTCATCTATCATGACAGGATACCTGATCTTAAAGATCTAGAGCCTATTGGAAAAGCCAGTCTTGTGAAAGCCACTCCAGTTGTTGTCCCCTTGAGTCAGAAATTTACTGGTAAGCAGGCTTTTTATTGCAATCTACCATTTAACATACATTACAGCCAACAGTAACTTTCTAATTTTTGGACTTATGTTTTTGGACCTACCACCTTTTCACTAAATGCTCAAGGGAGTGTATTTTCTTGCTATTGCGAGATGTATTGGTAATCTTTCCATTTTGAAGATGGACTAACTGCTTCTGAAAAAGTTTAGTTTGCCTATCACTGAGCAGTTGCTTATTTATTCACCTGCACCCCACCTTTTTCCCTGATGGGACTCAAGGTAACTTACACATAAAAATGCAAACTGCTAAAAACAGGGGGGGAAATAATTAAAACAATTAAGCATTGTTAGAAGTAAAACTATATGCATATATTAAATCTATTAAAATCCATGCAGATAATTTAAATTAAAACATTACGGCACCAGCCCTTTCATTAAAAGTCCGTTTGCAAAAGCCTGTTAGAAGAAAAATGTTTTGAGGTGTTCTTGTGTTAAACGTCGATACTTTGCCTGTGTTAAAATTTTGGTTGAAAGACTTCCCTTTCCAGAAGGCAATGGAGAGCATGTGCTGGTGGTTTGATCTTTCCAGATAAGTACCCTGGGGAGGTAGAGGTATAAGCATTGGGGTTTTTTGGTCATCTTAGTAATACTGCTCATTTTATAGATTTGTTTGAGAAGATGGTTCCCCTGGCAGTGCAGCAAGCTCTCACTCTCTACAACCAAAGAAAGGCAGACTTGGTTAACAGATCAATAGCCCAGATGAGGGAGGCCACCAATCTGGCAAATGGGTGAGTTGATGATTCTGAGGTCTGACTTGGTAAAACATTGCATTCGTTTGGCATGCCAAAGAGATACTTTTGAATAAAACAGAAGTTCAGTATTATTAAAGGTACGTTTTCATGTCATTTAAATTTATATGTTGCCAAAATTGTGTTTGGCATTTGAAGAGTACAATGACACTCATAAAAAGAAGTCTTCATTAGCAGTGACACCATCAAGTATTTTGTGTGTGGCAGAAAGCACACTGGACAATTTGACTTTTACTTCAACGATACTTGGTACAGGCAGCCCCCCTCCCGCCATTTTATGCATGTTCAACCTGGAAGTGACCCGGAAATGTCATAAAGACTTCACTGAAACATTCCTAAAAGGGCGAGGTGGGCATTTGCAGGCTTTTTCAATGGGTTTCCATTATATGCAATTTCACCTATGCGAGCGGTGCTTTGGAACGTAACCTCTGTGTCAATTGTGGGCTGCCTGTAATTTTACTTTTTGCTACAGCAAACAGAATAGTACAAGAGAAGACAGTATATTCTTATACATTGTTAAACGGGAATGTTAACTCCCAACAAACTGTCAGTCAAGTGTCTTTAAAAGCTGGTTGGTGTCAATTGAAGTGTCAAATTGTCCTTCCCAGAGTGCTGGCTTCCCTCAATCTCCCCGCTGCCATAGAAGATGTTTCTGGGGATAGTGTTCCTCAGTCCATTTTGCAGAAGTCTAAGTCTGTGATTGAACAGGGAGGCGTCCAAACTATTGATCAGTTGATGAAAGATCTTCCGGAACTGTTACAGAGAAATAGAGAGATTCTGGATGAGGTAAGCCTACAGTAATACCAATAGTCTATACCGTTAGCACTTCAACTTACATTTTACCATATTGTGGTAGTGGCAAAACCTGAGCTGATAAATTCTCACATGTTCTTTGTTTATTTACAAGAAACTAGATCACCATCTGTTTTAAAAATAGATTCCATTTGATTGGATTCCAAGATTTCAGTGTATGTATATTCATATTTTGTTTCCCAATAAAGGGATGCGGGTGGCGCTGTGGTCTAAACCACAGAGCCTAGGGCTTGCAGATCAGAAGGTCGGTTGTTCGAATCCCCATGACAGGGTGAGCTCCCATTGTTCAGTCCCTGCTGCTGTCAACCTAGCAGTTCGAAAGCACATCAAAGTGCAAGTAGATAAATAGGTACCGCTCTGGCGAGAAGGTAAATGGAGTTTCTGTGCACTGCTCTGGTTCGCCAGAAGCAGTTTAGTCATGCTGGCCACATGACCAGGAAGCTGTCTGCGGACAAACATCGGCTCCCTCGGCCAGTAAAGCGAGATGAGCGCCTCAACCCCAGAGTCGTCTGTGACTGCACTTAACTGTCAGAGGTCCCTTTACCTTTATATGCATATTATGTGTGTGTGTAAAAATATGCATTGGGTGTTCATAGGAAATAGGTTTTCAAAGCAACACTGGATTTGTTTCATTCTAAAGACATTGGGTGATACCCAGTTCTGGCAGTCTGCTTGCAGAACAACTGTTCTACTAAGTAGGAACCTCATTTTAGCACAGACCGACAGCCAGATCCAGTGGATGTTGTCTGCTTGTGAATGATAGTGCACAGTGACTAACACAACTGCTGCTATCATAGTTCTTGGTAACGGTTATGCCTGTGCACTACTGTTTGCTCAACGAATGCTCCAGCTTTCAAAACCTTTCACGAACACTGTTGAATCTTGCCCACTTGCTTAAATCCAGACTAAGTTGAAATTGGATGCCATTCAAATAATTGGGAAAAGTTACAGGTACAGGTGAAGTCTACATTCAGCACACTTTGCATCGATCCAGCCTTTCTTTATGGTTTGAAGTTATTTACGGTAATTAAAATATTTTTAAATAATTTTAGTCTCTAAGGATATTGGATGAAGAAGAAACAACAGATAATGAACTAAAGAACAAGTTCAAGGAACGTTGGCAAAGAACACCATCAAATGATCTTTATAAGCCTTTAAGAGCAGGTAATATTTGTTCTTCATAACCTGGTACTGAGTTGCTGAAATATATTGGCATGAAGCTGAATTCTGTGTTGAGATTTATCCCAAAAGGGATTGGAGTGATAAGGAGAGACATCAGAGGAAGCAGAGTAAGAGCACCATTCATTGGACTCTGAACAACAGGTGGTCTCTTCTAAGTTCCTCTCTGGTCTGGTTACCTAGGTTTAGCACACCAGTGGCAAAAAGTAGTTGTACTACGTATCAGTTCAGTATAATTCAGAATAGTAAGATTTCAAATAATAGGATGAAATGCACCATATTTGCTTACTCTTTGGGGAAAGGTGCAGAATGGAGATAGGAGAGCAACTTAATTCTATACTTAAGAATTCATTATGCTGAAGAACCTTAACTTGATACATTACGGACCCCTTCAACTATTTTTAAGTTTTACTCATTGTCTCACATTGTCCTCAGCATGTGTGCTTTAATTATTGAGACTGATTTTATTTTATTTTTTGCTGCTTTTATTTCTTGAATTTTCTTGTATTGCAACTTGAAATCTGTGGAATTAAGATCGTAATATGATAAAGTATGATAAAAATAGCAATAAAAATAGTTAAAAATCATACAGCATCTAGCATAATACATTGCAGTTGTTACAACAGAAAAAGCATTAAGGGTAGACCCAGACAATCTGCAGATTCGAGTGGTTCATGGGGGTGGGGGTGAGTTTGAGAATCATACCTGTTTTTATAAGTTGTGTGCTGAATTATTTTTACTTTAGTGTTTTACTGTTTTGGAGCCAGCCCTGGGATCATGTGATGAGGGGTGGACTAAAAATTATCTTTATAAGTGGGTTTCAATCAATGGAATTGTTTAAATTCACACAAACACCAATTTACTAAATTATTTGTAACACAGACTAAGTTTTTAAACTAGTAATTGTACAGTATTTTGTGTATTGGTAAAAGATGCATGCTTGAGCATCGGATGAACCTATTTATTTATTTATTTTTTATTTTTTGTAGAGGGAGCCAATTACAGCAATATCTTGGATAAAGCTGTGCAAGCTGACAAACAGGTTAAGGAACGTTACCAATCGCATCGTGATACAATTTCACTATTATGTAAACCAGAACCAGAACTGAATGCAGCAATTCCGTCAGCAAATCCAGCAAAAACTATGCAGGGAAGCGAGGTAAGAGATTTAGAAATTGCATATAAAGTTTCTTAACAATTCTTAATGATTCAGTTCTTGATTGATAATGTTCTGCCTTGAGAGACTACTAGATAGATTTATTTATTGCATTAGCCGAGTGGCCATAGCATGATATACATTGAAATAACAACATAAAATGGGGGTGGGGAGGTAGAGGTAGACATCGTCCTGGGCGAATACTTAAAGAAAGTGAAAAAAAAAAAAAAAAAAGACTACTTAAAACAGGCTTCTTCAACCTCGGCCCTCCAGATGTTTTGAGACTACAATTCCCAGCATCCCTGACCACTGGTCCTGCTAGCTAGGGCTCATGGGGGTTGTAGGCCAAAAACAGCTGGAGGGCCGAGGTTGAGGAAGCCTGACTTAAAACTTAGGGTGAAGGGTTGTAAAAATCTCCCTTAGATATTACAGGAGCACTGTTAAAGTGCTGCTTTCATGGGTTCATCTGACAACCCTGCTGTAATGACCGGAAGCTTATCACAGACTAGTCATGGCCAATTGCTCAAGTACTTAGCATCTGAATATTGTTTCTGATCCTGAATGAGCATTGGTTACATGGAAATGATGTGTTTGTTTGGCATCAGTCATACTGTGTGGCATATTTAGACATTAAAATGAGGTGAACCATTGGAAAAACACTGCTAAAGATAATGCAACGCAACCTTCTAAGAATTACTTGTAGAATAATTCTACCTGGTTAAAGCAGTGGGAGAGATGTGACAATAGAGCCCAGTTTATCAGCTTTGATGAGAGACCAACTGGTGCTTGCATTTGCTTGTTTTCCTCTTCCTGCCCCACCATTTCTTCCATGTGCTGTGTTTTTGTTTTTTACTTTGTAAGCCTGCAAGCAGGGACTGTTAACGTTCAAGACTTAGTAAATTTTGTACATGAGAGGATGATGTTAATTTTAAAGTCTTCCAACGCAGCACAGAAACTTAATCATCTATTAGGAAGAACTTCATTTGAAAGGCAAAATTAATGGGACACAGGAGATTGGGTTTTTTGTGTTGTGCTTTTTACATAAAAAATTCTGCAAGGCCTTCCCAGATTACCTGAGTGTCATGGCATGGAATGGAGAATGGCCTACCCTGTTTGCCGTCCCCACCCAATCTATCTGATATAAATTTATAGGTCCTTGTAAGCAGCTCATCATCATGATCCATTTTGTAATTAAAAGCAAAAATCAGAAAACTTCATGGCCAGATCTTCTATATGCCATTTCATTTTGCCCCAGATTGGTCAAGTCTGTGTTCTGTGATGCAACAAACTTATCAGTGAGTTGGCCTCTGTAAGGCCCAGCCTTGCTAAGCTAATTTTTTCAACGTACAGTCTTGATGATGCAGTAGTGGGAGAAAATAAGTATTTCAAAAACAACTGCTAGTTCTGACTCTTCTCTTTCTGGTGCATAGTGGGAAATAAGACTTAACAAGTGCCTCAAAGGACCAACAGTTAATTGCACTTTGCTTTCTAGGTGGTGAATGTCCTAAAATCCTTGCTAGCTAATCTGGAAGAAGTGAAAAAGCAGAGAGAGCAATTAGAGAATGATCTGAAGGCAATAAACTTTGACATGACAACAAAATTCCTAACAGCCCTTGCACAGGATGGTACTTTAAATGAAGAAGCCATTTCTGTCACTGAGCTGGATCGCATTTACGGTAGTCTCACCCACAAAGTACAGGAGACCCTGAAAAAACAGGAGGAGCTGCTCAACAACATTCAGGTAGTCTTATTTTCTTTGTGATACATTTTAAGGGCCAGTTTGGCACAGTTGGTACCTGGGGGGCAGGGTGCTGGTAGTCATTGATTTCAGTGTGCTTGTATCAATTCAAACTTGCAATTCAAACTTCTTCTAGTAGATAAATGTATTTATCTTAGTAGAGATAAATGCCTATGGAATAGTATGAACTTTGTGAAACCCTCTTAAAATGCTTTCTTTTTTCTCATGGTAGAATTCACATCAGGAATTTTCTAAGATGAAGCAATCAAATAATGAATCCAATTTAAGAGAAGAAGTTCTAAAGAATTTAGCAGTTGCTAATGACAATTTTGTGGAACTTGTAGCCAACCTGAGAGAAGGCACAAAGGTATCGTAAGGTCCATCACCACAAAAAGCAATACCACAGGTTTTATTTTCTTCTTTTCCCTGGTCTGATTGATTAGTGAGTTTCAACAGGTGCAATGTAAAGCATTGCAAAAGCCCACTTGAATAAATGTATATACTATATTCTAGAGAGAACACAGGTCTTGAATTATAAAAGTTGAAAATGGGGTGACATTTCATGTACTTAATGCTACTTTGATGGGATGGGATGAAATGCCACAAATTTCGGAGCAAGTATTTATGACCTATAATGACAATAAGCAATAAAACTGAAAGGGGGAAATTCTAAACGAAATACAAACAAAAAATTGGAAGTTTGGGAAATGGCATCCCTTTGAGTTATACAGAACCAATAAAGAAGAGTTCTTAATATGTTCCTCTCATTGCAGCCTTGAGTCTGCTTTGAAGTTAACACCTGTAGCACCTCTTTTTAGCAGAGAAATGGGAAGATAGAGAACAAGAGAGAAAAACTAAAAAAGAGAATGGAAGACCCTGGCAGCCTGTTTGTTGGGGGTGTATTGTTTTTTGTTTTAAACATTTATTCATTTAATGTTTATTCATTTATTGCACCATTTATTCATTTATTGCACCTTTCATCCCACCTTTCTCACCGAGGAGCTGGAGAGATGGCTTGCATAGTTTTCATTTAATCTCCACAACAACAACCCTGTAGGGTAGGTTAGGCCCAAGGTCACCCAGTGAGCTTCATGGCTGAGTGGAGATTTGAAGCCTGGTCTCCCAGGTACTAGTGGGGGTGTATTGTAATCAAAACTAGTGGGGGTGTATTGTAATCAAAACTTCTAGCATTGCAAATGGCACAAGGGAGGCAACAGAGGAAAGAGGTTGGGCTAACAGGAACAGTATATAATTTGTTGCAGTGATACTTAGGCTTAGCGCAGTAGATAAGGTATACATTCCCTTTGTATACAAGGTACATTATGTGTCCAGTCGTTGATGTTGAGTGGACAGTGAGATTTTTAAGCTTGTAAAACCAGAGCCTTTGTTCCATCTGAAACACATGCATCTTATTTAGGGCTCTTTGGACCAGAATGTAATGTAGTACGAAGTGAAGAAATGTCAAATCATGGTCATGAGAATTGTCAGTTGACATATATGGTCTTCACACTGTCCCTTAAGCACCTGCAGACTGTTTGCATATAATTCCTTTGTATGCAGTTCCACATTTGCTTTTCCTAATGGCGATGCTGGAAATAGCAGTGGACTAAAATGTTTCCTTGTCATCAGTTTTCTCACTTCTTGGAAATAAGACTTATGTCAATATCCAGCGCTTTGTTTTTAAAATGCTTCTTGCTGGTGAGTAGTCACTGTTTTCTTCCTTCCTAGTTTTACAATGAATTGACTGAAATCCTTCTGAAGTTCCAAAACAAATGCACTGACATTGTGTTTGCACGCAAAACGGAGAGAGATGAACTTCTGAAGTAAGCTTGCTCCACCTTCAAATATTAGATTATATTTCATCTTAATGGTTTTCTTAACTACCTTTGAGGGAAGAGTTCCTTCCAGTCAGGGGGACTTGAGATCAGAGGTGACTCTTCAAATGATAAATATCCATTTATTGTAAATGCTTGGTAGTAATCTCTGAGAAAATTACAGGAAATGCTTAAGTCATACTGCAGTAACTTATTTATGTGTGTCAAGACGTTGGCCAATTAGTAAGGGCTAAATATGTATATATTATGCATAGAGCCAGCTATATTCCTCTATTCTGGTGGTGCCCCAACTTAAAAATTGCCCATGGTCTTGGCAGATCACTTAATGTTTTTTTCTGCCTTTTGTAGTTTATGTCATGTGTTTAATGTTATGTGGTTTTTAATAGGATTGCTACTTCTGTTTTTAAAGCCCTGTGTTTTATTGTATTTCATAGAATTCAAAACGTAATACAATGTAAGAAAGGAGTTGTTAAAATGAAATTAATACAGACATTTATTGTGATGGGTGCGTCAGTTCCCATCTTCAGCCGCAAATCCAGACATGCTGTGGCTCACCAGAATGAAGCTCACAGACCACAGTTTGGGGATCCCTGCTCTATTTCTTACAAACATGTCTCTGGCATTCTGCAGTTTTTGAACTTTTTTGTCTACATACTTTAGGCAGCAAATTTCACGTGTGTGGATCCAGAGAAGTACATACAGAGTTTTTCTTACATTCTAGAGCTGCTGTGGTCCCTTTACAGCCTATTTCAGCTGTTCTTCAGGGTCACGGACGAACACATCCCTTGCATGAGCAAATTGGGCACTTTTGACAAGCTATAGTGTCTGAAGTTTGGAGCATGGTTTTCTTTGCAATAGAAACAACATTTTTGCTTCTTTCAAATGCCATTTGATCCGAAAAGGCCGTATTTAATTCTGCTAAGCTTTGGTGAGATTAAGCTCAACCTAATTGCAGAGGTAATTTGACCAGTTTTATAATAGCTTGGTAGCTTTCTCTGCAAAGACCCTGTGTAGGTGTGTATTGAATATTAATTCTATGTTAGGTGGGGAAATATTGCAGCAATCTATTATGTTTCAAATCTTATGAAAAACATTTTCCTTTTAAGAGATTTGCAGCAAAGTATTGCTAGAGAACCCAGTGCGCCTTCTTTTCCTTCTGTGCCTGCATACCAAACTGGGGGAAACAAACCTCCAGCCTCATCAACTCCAACTCCAGCTCCCAGAACCAGCGTGGTAAGTAAAGGAGCCATAAAAAAATTTTCTAGTGTTATTTGCCCTCATAGCTGTTTCTTGAATGAGAAACCACCTGTTCCGTGGTGGTTGCTATTGCAGGTGGGCAGCATTTCTGTTTGCTTATTTAAATATATACGATACTACTTAGCATTACAAATCTTGAAGCGGTTTATCAAGATAGAAACGATTTCAAAAAAATAAAAAATACATGAACACAGTTTCAATAAAAACAGTGCCCCAGTTATCCACAATACTATAAGGCGGTTGGATTAATGTTACTAGTCAGGGAAAACCCAAGCCAGCAAATAAGTTTTTCGTAAAGCATTTCAGTGGTGGAGCATTTCAGAATGTAGGTGCCACTGTGAAGAAGGCCTGCTTTTGTGTTGCTCCCAGGTTCTGACACCATCAGCAAGGTCTGTAAAGATCTAGTCGACCTGCTGTGGTTACATAGTACCCTCTTTGTCTGGCCCTTGGACCTCTTGCTAGACCGCTCCCCTTCGTCCCAGGCCACACCTGTCAGTGACCCAGCTTCACGTCCCCAGTATTTATGGCTGACTGGAATTACTACTGTTATTATCAATTGAATTTATACACCGCCCTATACCCAGAGGTCTCAGGGCGGTTCACAGAATAAAATCAAAATATAAAACCACAAAATACATAATCAAAATAAAAACAACAACCCAATAATCGCCCACCCCCCAAAAACCACATTTTAAAAGGGCATAGGATCCTCACAACATTTAAAGTAAGACAGTTAACAAACCTGGATAGGAGCCACTCATTGGAAAGACTGTGATCTCAGAAATGTCTGTGGCAAGATTTATTCGCAATCTAATTGGCCAGGTGTGGAATGTGTCCTTAACCTCTGTTAGAGGATGGAGAGAACGGGTGGGTGTATAAGGGATTATTGGAACTAGCACAAAGGTAACATTTATATTAACTGGTAAAGGTAATATTTGTATCCGCACTGGCAGGTGGCCCCCAGAAGGTTATATGGCCCTTGGGATTAAAATATAGCGAATAGGTAGCATGGCCTTGGGCTGTTCAGAGCTTAGACTTGAAGCCTTGTTTCTTGACTTACGTTTCCTATTGTTTTTCAGAGCCTATTCTGCTTAGTGCCACACACAGATGATAGCATTGTAGTTTATGTCTATGCAGCTCACACCTAACTCCACTTTTCTTATTTAGGCCAGTAAACCACAGCCCCCAGCACGCCCTCCCCCGCCGGTGATTTCTTCGGCAAATGCACTCACTACTCCTGTACAAGCAGCCATTGGGACAGCACCTTCTCCGGCTGGCTCTACGGCTAGCACAGCACCTTCACAGGCTCAGGGGCCGCCTTATCCGACATATCCAGGATACCCTGGGTAAGTTTGCAAAGAAAAAAGAAAGACCTTAAGCACCACTTGAGAGATTAGATTGCTCTTAATTATTCAGCAGTAGTCGTCTTCTTTGACGATCACTCACTCATAGCCAAGTAAAGATTGTCTTCCAAAAACAAGGTCTTAACAGTGAGTCCGTAAGTGACTGGAGGCCAATTCTGGATCCGCATGTCCTTCCACAGTGGGGACATAGGTTTCTGGGTGGGAGCTGGTTACGGTGAGGGTTTGCCAAGTGTGCCTTCCTCTTAGCATGTTTCTCCCTTTTGTCCTGAGTTCGAGCGTCTTCAAAGCCCATGACATCTTTGGTAAAGGCTGTTCTCCAGTTGGAGCACTCGAGGGCAGTATTTCCCAGTTGTCGGTGTTTATACTCCATTTTTTTAGATTTGCCTTGAGAGCCTTTAAACCTCTTTTGTTGACCACCAGCATTATGCTTTCCATTTTTAAGTTTGGAATAGAGTAATTGCTTTGGAAGACGTTAATCAGGCATCCGAACAAGATGACCAGTCCAACGAAGTTGATGTTGAATCATTGCTTTGACGCTGGTGATCTTTGCTTCTTCCTGTACACTGGCATTAGCTTGCCTGTCTTCCCAAGTGATGTGTAACAATTTTTCGGAGACACTGTTGATGGAATCTTTCAGGGAGTTGGAGATGGCGTTTACAAGCGGTCCGTGTTTCACAAGCAATAGTAGCACCAAGTTAAAGCTTAAGAGTAGAGCTCTTGCTAGTGGAAGTTATTGTGGCAGGAGGATGTCAGAATGGGACCTCCCCTAGAGTATTAAGACCCTATTAAGGATTCCAAAATTCTGGAAAGCTGTTTTTTTAGCAGAAGGTTTGATGGGCTATGGAGAGGGAGATCCTTCAGAAGGCCAACTGGAGAGGTTTATGTGCTCTGTGGTATTGTAACTGTACATCCTGCCACTTTTTGTTTTTACAGATACTGCCAGATGCCTATGCCAATGGGCTACAATCCTTACATGTATGGCCAGTTCAATCTGCCATACAATCCTGCGGCTATGTACCAAAATCCTGGACAAACACCGTATCCAGGACCACAGCAGCATGGATATCCTTACCCACAACACCCTCCACAACAGCCTGGATATCCTTATCCACAGCAATAACATATCTGCAAAGAAGCACTGCTTGTTATAACTAAGAGAAACTTGCAATAAGCATACTAAATCTTTAGTTCCAGTTAGTGTACCTCGCTGTATTGAAAACGCTCCGTAACTTTTCTCTGGTTAGATTCTCAAACATTCTGTGCTCCCGATTGGATTCTGACTGTATTAAACCTCTTAAAGGATCAGCAGGCTGCATCTGTAGTACGTGAACAGAATTAGATCACAGCAAACGGTGTGAACTACACTTAAACCAAAATTCTTTATTAAAAAAAAAAGTAATTTCCTATAAATAGTATTTGGGGTAATTGAGATGAAAAGCAAAAGGAATTGCACTGGGTGAGATTTAGTCCACAAGACTAAATGCGGTTTCCTTCTATATTTTGCTGGTTTGTATTTTGGGTATCGGTTTAGCTCACAATCAAGACATTGTAAATCTTAAGTGCAACATAATATTGCATAGAGTTGGTTTAGAAATGTTTAACAGTAGATATTTCTTACTACCCTATAACTGGTGTTATGTTTCTGAAGTTTGGGTGCACTCTTTGGCGTTGGTTTTTGAAGCCGAGGTTTCTGCTAAACACTCAAGGATGGAGACTGGTTGTATTTAAGTTCCTGTAATATACAAATGATTCCATAGATCAATATTATGTTACCCCAGAATGAGCAAGAAAAATAAATAAATCTGCATATTTTTATTGAATCTTTCAGAAGACGCTTTCAAGTTGTAAGATGTTCATCAGTGATGATTTGCAAAAAAATGTTGCTAAATTGCTATTCATGACTGGCTGAGAAGTAAAACACTTGACATTTATTTTGATATCTTGCTCCTGGTTTATCTTAAGTGATGTTGACCTGCTTGAACTGCTATGAATCTAGTAGCACTGTCTTCCATATCTTCACAATACCACATTTTCCCAGTCCATGCAGTCATAGAAGGATAATCCCTCACAAGAATAATCTAGGTTCACATGTTAAACATAGGTTTCACATATCTGAAATAATAGTTAAAAATCAAGATTTTTGTTTTTAAGCATGTGGTTGAATCTAGGTGACTTGGACTAGTGTAAGCACAGATGTTTGCTGTAGTTTCATTTTAAAATTTGGATGGATTCTGTCCCGTGAAAGTCAATCCTAGAGTTAACATCCTGTACTTCTAATGGTGCCTTTGATGCCAGAAATTTATACATGGCCAGTGGCAAATATTGTTGGACAAGGCAGAAAATCAGTCTCAAGCCCAGATTGAAAAGCACACAAAATCTTAAACAAGTTAAGACTTGAATTTTTCTATCATACATGGGTGAATTAATGTAGGTTATGTGTCAGTACTTCACAGCTAAAAATATACGCTTATATCCAAACCAGTCATTCTCAGAGCAGACCCACTGAAATCTGTAGACTAAAGTTACTTAAGACCACTAATACCAATGGTTCTTCCTGTGCATGACTTGGCAAACCTTGACTACACCTTGTTGTTTAATTGCAGTGAAAACACTGTGAGTAACAGTTTTGGATGCAATGCTAAACCAAATCATGGTTTAACCCTGCGAGGCAGCAGTGGGACATGGGCTAGAGACCTGTAGCTGCACCTCTTTGTTCCAAGAACCCTTGGTTCAGAACTGGGTCTAAATGTTAAAACTAAGCAGATGGTGGCAAATTAAATCTGAAAACACTATGGGTTAGAAGGGGAAAACAATATATTGTATTGGTTCCACTGAAGCCTGGGGCAGATTTTATTCGATGTATACAGCAACTTACTGTGAAGTGCATGTTCATATTTAGTAGAAGAAGCTGAAAGACCCTTCCCAGGTTAAAAACAAAAACCCACCTGACATCACAGCGATTCTTGGATTTGTGGTGTACATTCAAACATTTAGAAACTAGGCAAATAACAGGTGTAGGGATTCAATATTGTCCATACCCTATATGAAAAGGCAAACTACTTTTCAGAATGCTAGCTAAAGCTTTATGTTGCCATAACATAGGTAGTAGGCTTTTGAAAATAAAATTATCCGCTAGAGGGCAGTCTCTCACCATCAAATAGAGAAAATGTCCATGTTACTGACACATAATTGTTAAACTGTTAAATACAGAGCAAGGTAACAACTATTAAATAAACTTGCTCTACCACAGTTCCTAGGGCAGTTTTCATATAAAAAAATAAAATGGGGATTACACAATAAAAACCAGTCCTCGGGAGGAGGTCGCAAAGATGGGGTGTTCTTGGTAGGTATGCCTATCTTTGAACCTCCCTTTTACCAAGGTGAGGGGGTGCAGAGAGAAAGGGAGACCTAAAGGGCTCTGGAAGCCAATCCTGATTCCTTGGCAGGTTCGTTTGGGAAAAAACCACCAAGTTTAGACCTTCAAAGGTTAAGCACTGTTACTTAGATGCTCAAAACAAATCAAGAGGCAGTGTAGCTGCATTTAAAATTTGTGCAGTATGTTTCCTATGACCAGTTCCAGACAGCAATCCAGCTGCAGTATTCTGAACCGTGCTAAAGAGAGTGAAAAACTTTGCAAAAGTCCACTTTAGGGAAATAAAGGATAATGTTAACATAATAAAGAGAATGTAAACGGTACCTTGTTTGCTTTAAATGACCAGTAGATTCCTGGAAGGTTTCCCAAACTACTTATGGAAGAAGAGGAGTGCAGACAACTAACGGCTTTGTCCTTTAGGAACAAGGTAGGTCTCGGTTGTACGAAGCATAGCTGGACAGTTCCTAACAAGTACAGTTGTACCTTGGTTTTTAAATGCCTTGGGAGCCGAACAATTTGGCTCCTGAACCATCGAAAACCGGAAGTGATTGTTCCAGTTTTCAAACGTTCTTTGGAACCCGAACGTCTGAAGCGACTTCTGCGGCTTCCGATTGGCTGCAGGAGTTTCCTTGGTTCCTGAACATTTTGGAAGTCGACTTCCAAGGTACCACTATATTGCTTAGGAGTACCCAGAGGCCAAAAAGACGAGTTCGTAGGCATTGTTATGGCATTCAGCCTTGTAGATGGGAATTTGGCATTGCACCAGTGCTAAGAATTTTTATTTCTTTTGACTGATGCGGATGGCTGGAGGAGTCTGAATAACTTAAAACTGGTATGCTAATCTACAGGTGGAATGATTTGGGGCGATACAGTTTTCCTTGGGAGTGTTACTATTTTATAATACAAGAGAAATTCCACGTGAGTGCTGTCACAAGGTGAAAAACCCGTACTGAATATTTTCTTTGCAAACTCTTCTTTCCTAGCAAATTGCTCAAAGATGCTTCTGCCATATCCCTAGCAACTTGATGTTGACTCGCACAGGATATGTGCAGTTCTGGTGCATGTATAGAGAGGAGAAAAAACTACAGATCAAAGGAAGAGGAAAACCATTTAGTTCACCCACTTGCACTTGTTAGGATTTAAGATCTATCTAAGAGAGGGATAGCTGACATGGTGGCATGACCAATGCCTTGGCTGCTGGGGGTGCATTCTAGTCTAACCATATGCCAACCGTTATATTTTCTTGTGATATCTTATTTCTATAATACCCTTGGAAAACATGATGCCAGGACCTAAAGTGCTAGCAGCACTCACAAAAAAATTAAGTAGCTGGCAATCAAGTATTCTATACAGTGGTACCTCGGGTTAAGTACTTAATTTGTTCCGGAGGTCCGTTCTTAACCTGAAACAGTTCTTAACCTGAAGCACCACTTTAGCTAATGGGGTCTCCTGCTGCTGCCATGCCGCTGAACGATTACTGTTCTCATCCTGAAGCAAAGTTCTTAACCCAAGGTACTATTTCTGGTCTGTAACCTGAAGCGTATGTAACCCGAGGTACCACTGTATTAGCAAGAAGAACACGGATATTTATCTCCAGTTAGTCAATTACCCCCAATACTTGCATAGTCCTATTTTTACTGCTTGCATATTTCAGGGCTCAAGTTTCAAACTGTTCAACTTTTTATCTTTCTATTCATATTTAGTTGATTCTACTACACAAGTGACGTGTAGGTCAGAATATATTTGGCAAGAAAATCGCTAAATGGCTCAGAGCCATTTTCTGCAACCTACAAAATAAGCTTTGGGGAAACTGCAAGAAATGAGTGTGACATTATCTTGAAACATGACCATCTATAGCACAGATTCAGAGCCAAGATCAGTGTTTGAGGGCTCTGCTTCTTGAGAGAGTTCCACGCAAATGCAAATGTTAAGCCTTGCATTTGTTATGGGCGTTTGATCAATAGGGGCAAGGCCAAACAGATTCATCAACAATATGCAGTGAGCCACTAGGAAGTATAGAGATGGTCCTGATTTGTTCAGCTGGTGCCGTCCTGCCAGATCTGAGTAGAGGAAGTGGCAGAATGAAGGGTGGTGCTTTTTTTTGTATTTGTTTTTCCCCCAATAGGCTTTTGCAGAACATTCTGCTGCAAATGTGTTGAAAGTGTCAGCAGTGACAGGGAATGTGCGAAAGGAGAGAGGCAGCTTTTACTAAGCAGTAAGTGAACCATCCACAAAAGGGTCAAAAGCGAAGGAGGAGGATGTTTGTGAGAGAGAAAGAAGACAGCAATTGGAATGTAAGAGTGGATGATTTCACACAAGAGAAAGGGTGTAGAAAGATGTACCAAAAAGGTGGGTTTTTTTAAAGGAGAAAAAAACCCATGTTAAAGAGCTGAGGTTGGGGAAATCTTGACAGGTTTCTTAAAAAACAATTGTATCATCTATTCAATACTCGCTTCTTGCCTTCTACCTTGTGCAAAACGCTAACAGGAAATTAGTGTATTCCTATTACAATTTCGGGATGCAGGTGGCACTGTGGGTTAAACCACAGAGCCTAGGACTTGCCGATCAGAAGGTTGGCAGTTTGAATCCCTGCGACGGGGTGAGCTCCCATTGCTCGGTCCCAGCTCCTGCCAACCTAGAAGTTCGAAAGCACGTCAAAGTGCAAGTAGATAAATAGGTACCACACCGGCAGGAATGTAAACGGTGTTTCTGTGTGCTGCTCTGGTTCGCCAGAAGCGGACCTAATGGTCAGGGGTCCCTTTACCTCTTTTTACAATTTCAAACATTTACACTTTCTATGCTAATTTAGAAAAGGAAAGGGGTGTGTATGTGTGGGAAAGTTACTAATTTGCCTCCTGTGATGGACTGCAACTGGAGTGGCATGAAGCATGTGCATTTCCCTTCTCTCTCGAATGGAAGAAGGGGGAAATCAGAAAATTCAGCAACCGATGAAGAGGTTTGTTCTTAACTGCCTAAGTGAAAGTAGTTGGTAGGCAGGGAAACACAATATAAGCTGTGTATTTGCAGTACATTGAGTTTTTACTTACTGCTGTCATTAGGTGCTGGGGAAGGGACAGTTGTGGTTCGAGGACCCGACCTCCGCGATGTGAAATAAATACACAAGGACACGTGATATAAGGTTAATGGGCAAGAAAAGGCCACAACTTTATTGATTACAGCAGTGAAAAGGTATTGGCTTAGGCATTGGATGTCTAAAACAAGGGGGTTTATTCACCAGTAGGTGGAGCCTGTTGATGCTAATCCAACTATAGGCTCTCACCTGATGTCACCGGGGGTCGTGCCATGGCCTCCCGCCAAGCAGGCATCGGACAGAATACACGACCGCCGGATTCCTTTAACGGAATACCCAAAAATTGAAGGCGCAGGCGATGGCCACACCCAGCCCTTCGACACACCACAACACATTATTTCAATGCCTAACCGCCACCCGAGCCAACCCCTCTCTTCCAGGGAGGAGAGTCTTTCTTGTACAGCTTGGCCCACAGATCTGTGTGATGTGGGGATTTTTCAAAACAGTGGTGGATGCTTCAGCAGCTCTGGCT